TCATCTCATCCAGGAGTGGGAGCTGTCCTGTGCCACCACTGGGCTGTGGGGTATCCATTCCATTTATGCCTCAAGCTCTCTTCCTCAGACTATAGTTTCTAGTTTTGTGGCATAATGAATGCTTTTTTCTTTCAGCCTCAAAGAAAATTTTCCTCCTGCTGCCTTAGTTCTCCTACTTCAGTTGTTTTTTTTCTGCCTCCTTGTTGTTCACTCCATAACAGACTGTCCTAAATTCCTTCCCTTCTTGTGTCGATGCCAGGTGGGATAAGAAACTAAGGGGTCTGCTCTTACTTTGAGCTGGAAAGATGAGTGTCAGTATACGTAGGGATTGACAAGGAGGACACTTCTTAGGACAGAATATGGTAGACACCGCTCATAGCTTATGTCTCTGAAAGCAACTGTATGGGTGATAGTGGCTTTCCTTGGTTTCCCCATGGCATGGAGAGGTGAGGCTGGTCTTTCACCTGTTGCTAGTTAGATTTCCCTGCCTTCAAGGCTGCATTTTGGTATATGGAAAGAGCAGGGGAATGGCTGAGGGATCTGAATTCCCTATGGTGATGATTTCAAATTGTATATAAATTTTCTGACTTTAGGGGCAGGATTTGGTTGCTTTAAATCACACGTGCTTTGTCTCTGTCTTATAGGTTCATAACAGAGTTCAAAATTAAATCTTAGTCTGATGCCAAAAGTTACCTAAGCTGGTTAGTGGAATTGCCCTTACCTCTCTGCTTTTAGCATTGTTCTTTATTATGTCATTATAATAAAGCAAAAAAACTTGAAGCACTTCAGTTTGTGCATTTGCAGTACGGTACTAAGAACTAAAATCATGCCAAGTGCTTCTTGCTGTTTGTTACTTTTTCTGTTGTCCAAACAAATAATTTCTTTGCAAGGATGTTCCTGCTGTAACACGTACGTATTTAATGGGTACCCTATGCATCCTGTCACTAGGACATTTCTCAGATGTCAGATGTAAATCATCATCCTTGACTGATAGAAATAATAAAATGAAATCCCAAACCAAACAAAAAGGAGATGAGACACTGAACTGCCCACAGAAAACATTTGATAACAACTGTCAGGCTGCATGACATAGCCGGTCAGTGAAGAAGATCTTGTGGTTAATAGCTCAGCAGTGGGGTTTGAATTTACTCGTCAGAGGTTTTTTCATTTTGAGCAAGCAGTTTAGCTTAGATCAAATGAAAGAGCTAGAATATGCATTAAAGGTCTTTAAAAGATATTATCTTTACTGCTAGTGCAGGAAGAGCTGTGATATGTGGGTTTCTCTCTTCAACAAAATGTGAATACAGTATCTCTCTCTGCAATGAAAATGTGAATGTGTACTGTACTTAGATGATAATCTCAAATGCTTCCATTTCGGCATTTTTGTTGTTTCCATGCTAATACACTCCTTTCTGGTCTTAAATAGCTGCCACTGTATGAAGCTGTTCTCTGATTTTTGGATGAATTCCAGAGGTCATAGGTACAGAGGTGATAAGTACCACCAAGCTGAGTTTTAAAAATAAACATTCAGTGAAATGCAGAACAACGAATCTGATTTTCTGTTTGCTCACAGTAAATTGGAGATAAAATATGGGAAAAACCAGCTTTTGATGTCACTCAGCTTCTTGAACATTATATTAATCAAGCAGAGCCAAATTGCTTCAACAGAAAATACCAGCTTTCATGTGGAACTATTTGGAGAAAATAATTTACTATTTAATACGCTATTTTTGTTTTTATCAATAAGGAAACTGAAAAGATAAGACTGCTTAAAGAATGGTATTTGTTAAGTGATTGTGAACAAAGTATAATTGGACCTCATGTATTTTCAGAAAAGGTTTAACTGGATGTATGATGTAACTTGTATAGAGCTGCATGTGAATTGTTAGTCACTGTTTTATGTTGTATTGTTCTGCAGTGCACAAATACGACTACTAAACAGAAGTGTTACATTTCATTAAACTTAAAACCTTGTTGCAGTACATAGTTTCCCACTTTCTGTGCCAAAAACATCAACACATTCCATAATCTGTTCTAATAGAGATTTGCACTTTTTTTTCCCTTTTTGACTCTTGCAGTTTCAATACTCTGTATCCCCATCACAATGGAATAAAGTGTCAATTGTACTGTGAACTGTGTAGTTTTTGCCTCTTATTCTGAAACTGCAAGCACCAGCATTTTATTTAATACTGTGTCATGTCATCTTTTTATTAGAAAGCTTGCTATATGCCTAGGAAAAAGCCAGTAATACACAGGAGTGTTGAAACCTTTCAGCATGTTAGAAGAAAACTTGGCTCTTTTTTAAAAAAAGTTATTTTAGACTTACATTTAAGAATAATGTAGGTAGAGGTTTGGCCAAGTGTTCTAGATACAGTGGTTGTAATGAATTTTATTACTGTTAAGATAACTAAATAGATATTACTGTAGTGCAGTTTGTTTTTCTGTCATGCATGTATTTACTGCAAGTTACAACAGTTAAAATGACAAAAGTTGAGTGGCATGACCATGGTGTTTTCATTCTTAATGTAGCACTTGTGTCTTTCTCCCCCACAAGATGTCAAGAAAGTTGACTGTATTTGAAATATTGTGTACCAGTAATATGGCTGATGGCTGCACGTTTTGTATCCAAATATTTCTTCTCGTGTGCTACAAATGATGCAGGTGGAGCTCATCTCTGCCTGGATTCTTGTGCTCTAATGATATTAGGTTGTGATATCCGGAGTAATGGTCCCAGGAGGTAATGCATGACTCTAGGCTTGGAGGCCATGGGCATTAAATGCTCGTAGGCCTTCAGTGCCACCTGGTGGCAACCCGAGCTTTAATTATTCGAGGCCTTAGTGTTGTTGATTTCTGCTCTTTTAAGAAATCCAGCATAAAATAATAGTACTGGAGCAAAAGAATTGCAGTAGTATAGTTTGTCTAGGAATATGACTTTAAACAGAGAAGAACTGAATATTCTTGCTGAAGATTGAAGAACAAGTAAAGATGTAGCTAGAGCTAGTCTAATCTAAATACAGCCTTTGTGCTAATTGAACTACACAAGTTAACTGGTTTATATTGCATTATAGGTTTATATTACTATTTATAAATCAGTGCTACCTCTGGATACATTCTGCTTGGTGCAATTACTTCACATAGTAAACTACGTCATTTAGATGAATCTTTGTGTATCTGTATACAGGAGAGAGTTGGTACCAGTTTATTTGGATTTGTTTACGAATGTCAGTAATTTAAAATAGTACAAAAGCTATACAACTCCCATTTGCCACATCAACAAGCACCTCATAGAATATTTAAACCTTGAACAGCAAAATATGACAGTCATTTTAAAAGATGTGCCCTTTGAGAAGTTTAGCTGTAGAATATCACGTCAGCAAATCAAGCCTTCCTGCACTGAGTTTGTGAATGTTTCAGGAACAGCCTGACAAAAAAAGCATCAATCACAGTCTCCTGCATCCTGAACTCCAGATATCCTCATATTATCAGCTACCTCACCTCACCCCCAAATCCATGAGGCGTAGGCTCATTGCTGTGGGTTTGTCATTTGAAAGCTGCAGTTGTTAGCTCCAGAAATCCATTCAGTTTGGTCAAGGCCCCTGATCTGTGTCTTTGACTGAACCAAAGTCTTTGCCTGGAGCTTTCTTCCTCCTCCTTAGGGCAGCACTGCTGTGGAACATGACGCTACCAGGGAGAGGCCTTGCTGTGCAGTGAGGCTGCCTAGGGAAAAGGCTGATCACTGTGGGCAGAAGGGGGGGGAATCAGCAGCCAGCCACAGTGCTGCAAAGCCCAACGGCCTCTTCTCACAAACCAATAGTGTTACAGTGCTTGCAGGAGCCCACATGTGAGCGATTTGAACAGAGCTTTGTTGTAAGCAGTTTCTGAAACTTCTCTGACTCAGAAATTTCTTCTAAATGTGCGTACGTACATAATTATATAAACCAGTGCAGTGCCTGAAATCTTCCCACCTCCCTTCAAAAAAGAGTTCTCTAGCTCTCTCCTCATTGAGGCTCACTGATCAGTATTGAACTGATGCTAACCTCCTGAAATGAGTATCATACTGAAAGCAGTCTTCTTCCGGCTGCTTGGCTCTTAATTCCAGTTTTATTGGCAGCAAATCTGCTAAAATCTATTCTATTATTGAGTTCTCTACCCACAGTTAATTCTTTCCAGCTTGCCCCATGCTGGCTACCGTGGTGCAGGGATCCAGAAGCCCAGCTCTTCAGGTGCTGCTTTGAACTGCTCTCACTGAGTGGGGTTATTAATATCCTAATTCCAGAGTGCACAGCAACTATTTTTATTGGAACTATTGTACAGAGACAGCAAGGTCTTCAGCAGAATTCCCCCTGAAGAGAGGCTGGAAGACGTGTGGTTAATGACCAAGTGTGGGAGTGGGGAGCTGGGGGACACCTGCCTCAGCTCAGCAGTGCCAGCACCTTGCTGGGAGCTCCAGAGGATCTCAAAGCACACTTTTGAGTGCATCAGATTAGGGAGGATCAGTGCAGGTGCTCCAACTGCCCTGCAGTGCTCTTTGTTCTTGCAGTCAGCCAGGGTGATGTTAACATCCAGCTCTACGGAGATCAGAACAGTGAGCATTCCTGTATTTTTCTGTGTTCTGGGCAGGATGTTTGCTATGCAACGTGGTTATTAATAAGCCAGCGGAGCAGGTATCCCAGTCAGCACCCAGAGTATGACGCGATGTGGCACCGAGGGACGTGGAGGTCACGGGCTGACGGCTGAACTAGATGACCTTAAGGTTTTCCACACTTAATGATTCGTGTGACTCCACGAGCCAAACAGCGCGGCAGCGCATGCAGACGGCAGCGACTTGGCGCTGAGTGGCGCAGCAGCACAACATCGAGTGCCCGCACCGCCACAGCGGCCCGGCCCGGCGCCACACTGCGCGTGCGCCTGTGGGCGGGACGGCCACGCGCCTTCCTCGTGGGCCGGCGGGCGGGGCGCGGCGCGGAGCGGCGCGGGAGGGGCCGGAAGCGGGGCCGGGGGCGGTTTTCCCTGCGGTGCGTTCGGAGGGGTTCCGCGATGGAGGTCTCTGGCCCGGCCTCGAGCGCGGTCGGGCGGCCGTTGACAGAAGACGAGATGGCCGACGTGAAGAAGGAGGCAAGTGCCGGGCCGGATTGTAGGCGGGAGCCGGCGCGGTGGGAAGCGGAAGCGCCGTTAGAGCGGGCGGGAGCGCCTCGCAGAGCGGAGTTCCCCGGCGCGGCCCGGACAGCGCTGGGCTGTGGGTGGTTGGTTACGTCAGAGAGGAAATCAGTTTGCCTCTTGTTTGTTGACCGTCCGAGTGCTCGTAATGTACAGTGTCCTATGTACCAATTTGTGTATATTTGTGTATATTAACACTGTGTGGCCTCTTGGGTAATTTTTTTTTCTTCTCTCCTATGTGGCGTTTTCTCATTCAGAAAAGGATGGAACTTAGCTTAGTTTCTTAACAGCTTTATGCGTGCAGCGTTTCCTTTAAATGCTTTGTCATAGTTTGTGAGGCATGTTTTTCGAGTTATTACTTGCTTCTGAGGAACCTCAGAGTACAAGTGCAGTAGGTAGCACCCAGTTGTTACAGCAAAAACAAAACAAATGAAGGCAGGACCTACTTATGTATCACATCACATATGCAGTCTGATTTAAATTTATCTGTGTTAGTGGCTGAATTTGCAGTTTCTTCTCCCAGGAGTCCATCGGTGTCACATCAGCCTCTAATCTTACAGTTCCATATAGTAATTGGAGGACTTGATGGAAGGCTAGTGTGTAGTAAGAGAGAACTTTATCATCAAAATGCAGTACAGTAAATCTGACTGTAGAGACTCTCCCGTTGAGGAGGTTCATTGCTGCTTCACAGTATGCTCACTTGGTTGCCCCAAAGTCGTTCAAGTACCTCTGATCAGGCACATTCATTGTGGTGAGCTATGGGCCAGGTCAGGTGCTGGTCTGTCTTTGTGAAGCAGCACAGCGCTGCTCAGAGCTCGCAGTGCAGGTGTGTGTGAGCGTAGCAAAAGGAATAGCTGCTTGTCCAGCTCTCAACTAGATTAAGTGGTGATCAGGGCAGCTAGGGTATCAGAGCAGACCCAGCTTAACTGCTGTGAGAACACAATCATAGTAAAACTCAAACAGGTATTTAATTTTTTACCTCTCTTATCCAGGCTCCTGATACCTTCTCCTTCCCGACCATTTTGTCACATCAGAGAATACTTAAAGCAACTGCCTAGATGGTCATAGGAGTCTTACACTTTTCTCTGCACAGTGAGCTGTGAGATAGAGAAGCTGCACCACTAGAAATCCCATGTGTGTTGTGTGACAGTGCACCTCAGAAAGCTCTTTTACAGGGGTCATCCAGCCTAGGTAAACTTGTCTGAAGGAGAAATTACAAAGGGTAAAATCTAATGGTGGAGATCTGGGAAGAAGGCAGTGAGACATGCAAGAACATTGATATAGAAACAGATATTTAAAGCTCCTGTTGTTCTATGTTTACTCTTTCTGTTCCTTACAAACTGCTAACCTGTGTGGACAGTTGGGGGAATTCAGAACTGATGCACTTAATGTAGTGTAAGGCACAGTGCAAGAAGGTGTTAGTTGAAACACAGTACTTTTCTTTTGAGTAACAACTTGCTTTATACTTCTAATGCTAAAAATTTTACTGACTCTTGTGTCTCAGAGTTTGTTGATTGATCCCTTGTGGTAGGAAGAGGTACAAGAAATGGAAAAAATCAGTGTTGCTGGCAGTATTTTTAGCACAGCTTGCTGCAGTTGGATGCTTGAGGTGTGTTGCAGAGCAGATGGATACAAGCAGCACTGCTGCCCTTCTCTGTTCTTACAGTCAGTTAGGCCAGCAGCCTGTGATTGCACAGGAAGCTGGATCGAGTCATCATCCACTTGTGGAACTGGGTCCTCTCACTACCAGGCCCAGAATAAGAGCAGGGACAGATGCAGCTGCTGTGTGCCCCCAGCCCAGAAGAGCCACCCGGCTCCAGCTGCACTGTTATGCTCTGGTTTCACATTGAGTTCGATCTGGCTGTGGCAGTTTGCTCCCGAAATTTTTCTTGCTCATCAGTGCACAAGTAAAGCGAAGAGTTGTTTCCACATTGCTTTCATAGAATATAATCTCAGTGAGTTGAAGGATATTTGGAAGTTTTCTTCAGGAAAAAGCATTGATTGTTTCTTTCATCACTTGTATATTAAAGCTTTTTTCCCCACTTGTAGCCCTCAAATTGCTTTTTCTTTGAATTAAATGAGGCAAATTTGATGAAAGGAGAGAAGGGGGATTTTTTTTTCACATTGGTAACTTTCAGCTAGTGGATCTGCCTTGTGTATTTCTTCACAGTGAAAACTGCTGGCACGGGAAACTGCCAGTTCTGTAGTATTATGTAAAATGAAAGCTTGTTTTTCAATTAAAAAGGTATCATTTGTGACTCATCTTCATAGAGTAGTAGATTGGTTCTTGAAATCAGAGTTGTGAACAAGATGTTAGTTCTGTTTTGAAGTTAATGTACTGATTAAAATAAGAGTTGGAGATACTTGCAGTTGTGTGAACCCTATGAACAAGGTAAATAAAAGTCTTTATGTTATGCTATGTGTGAATAAATTCCTCCTTAAAAGAGAAGGCACGTGATCTTCCAAAGAGGAATTCAAAGTCGTGATGTTGCTCCTGTAAATTAGCTTTGAAGTAAATTGATATTTGTGTTGTAATTGAATATGATAATGAAAGTTAGTTTTTTTTCTGGGGAACCATAGCGTGTGAGTGGAGGTGGGACTCCATACAAGGTGCTGCAGTGCCCAAAGGTACTTAGTGGCACTGCAGTTCTGTGCTCGGAACGGGGCTCTGCTTCACCTTTCCCAGTGGCAACTGGCTGCCTGCAGGGCTTCTTAGGCAATTGGTACAATCCCCTCCCAGGGGTAGACTTGCATCTTTTTTTTCCCCCTTCTCTTCTCTTTGCTGGTCATAGAAAAGAGTTAAGCAACTAGTTGACACTTGTTAGCTGGGGTTATGCTGTAGGAGGTAGCGCCATTTTGCTTCGGCCTGTCATCAGAGTTGTGCTAATTTCCATGCATTGGTGCTATGTGTCAGGGCTGTACAGGTTGCTCCAGGTGTGTGGTGTAAAGCCTTAAACCAAAAGAAAACAGATGGACAGACAAAAAGCAACCAGTAAGTCTGTTCAAAGTAGGTGCATCTGTGGAAGGAAGAGCATGTATTGTGGATGCCAGTGATCTGGTGGTGAACCTGTGTGCCCAAATAACTGTCTGTATAATGCAACTTTGAAACGGTGAGTATATTTATACTGTTGCTCTGAGACTGCAGTTATTCAGTGTGCAGAGAACATTGATAATGACAGTGTGTGTCCTGCATACAAATGGTGTAGAGATGTGACAATGTAGACAAAATGAGTGGCTGCTATTTGTATTTTATTGGTTTAATTTTTTTTCATTTTATTTAAAGACGGTTCTGAAATGTGATAAACACAGACTTAATGAAATATTTTCAGTGTTTGCCTCCACTGGCTAGTATGCATTAAAAATTCTTAGATCACTCAGGAAAATGATGAATTTTCCGTTAGAAAATTTAGAAAAAAAAAAAAATTCCCTTTTAAATAGATGCAAGGAGAAAATTCTCTGCATATGATATGCTCATAACGTAGTGGCATCTTTAAACTATTTTATTAACCTGTAAGTCATAAAGATTTTTCAGTGTAGCTTCTAAATAAATTGGAAGACTGGAAGATTAATGTATGTTTGTTTTGTTTTTCAGGCTTTAGAAAGGATGCGTCCTTACTTGTGTGACAAAATTATAGCTGAGAGACACTTTGATTACCTGCGTTCAAAGAAAATACTCACTAGAGAGGACACAGAGGAGATCTCTTCGCGATCTTCTAGTAGGAAAAAAACTGGGAAGTTATTGGACTACTTGGCAGAAAATCCAAAGGGACTGGATGCTTTGGTTGAATCCATCAGGCGAGAAAGAACACAAAACTTTCTGTTACAGAAGATAACTGACATAGTGTTGAAAGTCAAAAATGAAAAACTCGAAGCTCTCAAAGGTGAGAAGTTTATAATAATGTACTGTAAGACAGAAGTTTTATTTTGAGGAGCTGTGAAACAAAAGTCCTACAGCTGTGTGTTCCTTACAGATTTTTTTTTTTTTATTTTTGCTTCCTCTAGTTTTTGGGACAGCATAGTTCGAAAATTTCATAGTTTTCTGTTTAAAATCCTGGGCATATATTGATAGCTTTACTTCTTTATTTTCTGAACATGTAATAAACAACAGATCAGAGAAAACAGCTGTGCTGTGTGTTGTCCTAATGAATAAGTTTGTTTCATGCTTCAGTTCTACTTTCCATGAGCTTCTAATTCAGAACTCAGAATAGGTGATTATCTTCCATCTTGCATTGCTGTTGAAGCTGTTTGCTGCAGTGGCAGGATGCTTTGGTTTTGTTGAACTTTGCATCTCAGCAGAAGATAAGTCTGCAAACACAGCATGAGGGGGAATTCTTATTCTTGCCTTCAATGTCAGAACTTAAAATCAGACTGTTAATCTCTTTCTTCATGCAGTCAGAAGTTTTGTTGACATAGAAAACTTAAGTAGCTATATGTACTCATATTTGAAGGCAGAAAAAGAAAGTATAAAGTATCTAAACCAAAACCTTTACTTCCTCTTCCACACCCATAAATAAATAAGAAGGAAGAAAGTATATTTTTAACTCCATAGATGAAAGACTTGAATTTCTGTTTGGCTTCAAGTATAGCAGCTGTCAAATGCAGTCTGTTTTGAAGTAGAACCATGCAGCTGAGCTTTTTAAAAGTTAGTTTGAAGATTATAGTGAGAATATTCTATCCAAAGATAGGTCAGAGGGCTGAAGTGACTTCCTAGAGGGAAGCTGCAATTACAGTGCACCATTATCAACTAGTAGCTGATACAGAGAAAACTTTTTCACGTGGTTGACTAGATGATCTGCTTGTGTTTTCTGATTTGGTGTTAGTACTGGAACGTCACAGGTAAGATGAAGACAGTCTGTTAAAAGTGGACACAGCTGATCCTTAATGACAGCTTTACCACTACTAACTCAGAGCACAGTTAAAGGATGTATCCTGATGTTGATTTTATTCTCTGCTCTTTGTTTCAGGTCTAAGTTGCAGCACATGTCTGACCTCGCTGTATGGAGGAACAAATAATCTTTCTAGATCATATTCCGATGAATCCAATTTTTTTGATAAAACAAAAGACAAAGAATCTACTCATATGCATAATCCAGAAGAAGATTATAGCACTGCTGCATTTATGTCTGCTGTCTCTCTTCATTCAATGAATCTACCTGTTGCAGAGATGGGGAATGCTGAGAGTGCAATTTTTTCAGCCACTCTTCCAGGCCCTGGAGACCCTGGTGCACCCCCTCTCCCTCCAGAGCTCCAGTCAGAACAGCAAGAACCATCTACTAGTTCCAGTGACAATTGCTTTTTGCCTTTAAGGTCACGTTCTCTTCATCCACAGTGAACTTAGTGACATTTGTCTGTTCATCCAAATGCTACTGAAGCTGAGTTTCAGTCTTTTAAGGGTAAAAAAATGTTTTCAAACCGCTAATTTGGGTAATCAGAGAGAAAAATCAGTGCTACTTGATGTTTTTAAAGTTTTTTTTGTTTGGTTGTTTTTTGTTTTGTTTTGTTTTGTAATCGAGTGTCTCTAGCTGCTTGATTTTGTTTTTCTTGAGGAGTTTGCTTTTTGTTTTTTAATTACGGTACCATACCAGCAGAAGTTGTTTCTTCGTTGTTTTGCTTTTTGTTTGTTTGCTTTGTCTTTAAACCAATATATTTAAGATACCACGTTTAGTTGCAGGTACTTAAGCTGCAGTTACAGAATAGTAACAACAAATGTCATTTTTTTTTTTTTTTTAATGTTTTGTGGTGAGTGAAAAAGCAGCAGTGATTAAGAAAAGCACTGAGTATTGAAAAGTAACGTCCTGGACTAAAAGCTTAAGCTCACATGCAGAAAAGCTTAAATTCATGCACTAAATTAACGTGTCCTCCATATGTGAGTATAATTTGCAAAAAAATATTTTCATTTGGGGGGGAAAAAAAAAAAGCCTTACTAAATCTGTAGCTATGCTTATTCACAAGAAGGCTCTTAATTTTCTGGACTTTCTTTGTCCGACCAGTAAACTGAAAGGCACTCAATATCAAAGTGATTTTGAGCCAGCAAGTACATATTCACAAGCCCTAGCATGTTATTATTGTAATATAACTTAGAAAATCATGATTTGAAATGCACTTTAAATACAAATTCTCATTAATTTTTAGAAAGGAAAGTTTTTTTTAAACTCGTGAAGGCTGTCAGAAAATGTTTTGTATAATGCTGTTAAGGACTGAGGCTTGTGTGTTTTGTCCTGGTGGGTGAGCAGAGGAGTCTTGTGGCAAGGAAGTGCCCTTAACTGAACGATTCTTGGAAGTGTTGTACTTCAGATACCTGCTCTTCAACACAGACACGTTTACAGTTGTTTAGAATTGAAGGCATTTAAACTATTTGATCATGGGAAGGTTCTCGTATTTCTGAACACAGTATAATGCTATATTCCTCTTATACTCTGCCTTAACCACTTTAAAATTACTAGGCAAACTTTTTCTTGGAAATGCACTCTTGCAGCATTCTGTAATGCTGCTCTTCAAAAGGAGGCTTTCAGTATATCGAAAGACAAGTTTTGTATTTCTTGCTTTGAATTCTTTTTGTTTTCATACAGCTGTGTAATTCCATTCAAGATGAAAGCCAGGTAATAACCCTGAGTTGTGTTTTCCTTTTGTGCAGACAGGCCTTCTGCAGGACCTCTGCATAGTCTCTACACTTTCATTTCATGTTTGCTCTGGTTTCAGGAGTAGGTGAAAATGACCTGCAGTGTTCAATTGTCGTCCATGTTCAGTACATGAATAGCTTACATTTGCTTACAATGTGAGCTTCTGCTTGTGTATTTATAAAAAAGCCTTGTAAATGTCCGAAGACCTTCAAGATGGTGAAAATGATTCTAAGTGAAACTCATCAGTACAGGTGGCACTCTGGGATCTAAATTTAAGTAAAATCTTGCTCTCTAACATGAAATAGAGGATAAGTGCAGATCTTTCTTCCCTTAACTTGTACTGCAGTTGCCCATACTCAGGATGCATAGAAGTTTGTGTCTAGATATCTCTTTGGTTGCTGTATACCACTTGAAGAGTTGCATGTGTGTTCTCAAACTTTTTTTTTTTTTCCTCCTTGTTTTCACTTCCTTGGAAGTCTAGACTTGGGTCCCTTCTTGGGTTCTTGTAAATGGGGAGAGAGCAAGCTTGGCCTTAACTGAAAAAGGGCTTTAGGTCACTGTGGAAACTGTCTTGCAGTTGTATGTCAGAACACGCAGTGTGAGCTGCCTGCCACGCTGCACAGTGAGCAGCAGGCCTGCCCGTGTGGGGAGCGCTCCTGCAATGGAGCTTCTTAACCTGAGACTTTAAATGAATGTATTATCTTATTAATGTTTATAATGGGCATTTTTAAGAAAAATGAAATATTTTTAGCACGACTTTTGAATAAATTCTTTTGTATATTTGCTTTTCCTGTTTGCCTTTATTAAAATGTGTAGGCTCTAAGAGACTCTAGGAGTAGCTCGTGCCAGTACCTGGATGGGTGGCTTTGGTTTTGTATGTGTGAGAGGCTTTTCTTCTTTTTACAGAAGTTGTCTCTGGTGGAAAGAGTGACAGTGTGAAACCTGTGTTGGTACTGCCTTGAAGAGGGTACGAAGGTAGGACTGCCTTGAAGAGCCCCGTGGAGAGAGAGCACACATGTGAAATGGAGACCTTGTCTGCTGTGTGTGGCTCATGGCTGGTATTGCTAACCTGAGAGTCTGAATAGCAGCAAGAGTGCTGGGAGTTCCTCCTGCTTTCCAATGCCGGCTGCGGGGCCTGATTGCCTGCATGCTGCCCAACAGCTGCCACAAGCTGATGTGGGTGGAGGTGCCCCAGAGCGGTGCTGGGAGCCTTACCTGCCCGGAGGCTGAGGGCAATGCCATTTCTCTCTGTTCCCTCCAATGAAGCTCACAGGTGTGAAAAAGAGAAACGGAGGTTGACTCAGTTTCACGTCTAATTCTCTTTTCATCTGTGGTCTTTTTTTTTTTTTTTTTTTTTTTTAGCCCTAACTTACCGGGTCGAACACTCGCTACTCAAGTGCGAATGCAGGAAGGCCAGTTATTTCCCTCCCTTTCTCCCGGACGCCGGTTGCCGCCCGCAATGCAGGCCGGGGCCGGCGGGCGGAACCCTCGGCGCGGGGCCGGTTTCCGTGCGGGCGGCGAATTGCGCAGCCCCGCCATGGCGGCGGAGGGAGAGGATCCGCTGGGCTACTTCGCGGCCTACGGCAGCTCCAGCTCCGACTCGGAGGCCGACGAAGCCTCGGCCGAGGAGCGGCAGACGGGAGCCGGCGCGGCGGCGGGGAGCAGCCCCGGAAGCCGGCCGAAGCTGCCGCCGCCGGACGAGCTCTTCCGAAAGGTGTCCCAGCCGCCCGCCTTCCTCTACAACCCGCTCAACAAGCAGATCGACTGGGAGAGCCGCGTCCTGCGGGCGCCCGAGGAGGTACGGCCCGGAGGGAGGGGGCTGCCCCGCCCCGCCCTGCCCCGGGTTGTCCGCCGGCTTCTGAGGCCCGGCACGTGGGGCTGACTGCTTCTCTGCTCTCACCCGCAGCCGCCCAAGGAGTTTAAGGCGTGGAAGACGAACGCCGTGCCGCCGCCGGAGGTGTACAGCCCGCCCGAGAAGAAGCCTCCGCCGGCCCCCGCCGTCGACATGGCCATCAAGTGGTCCAACATCTACGAGGACAACGGCGACGACGCGCCGCGGCCCGCCGGCAGAGCCAGGTTCCTGCCGGAGGAGGAGGAGGAGCAGGCGGTGTCAGGTAGGGCAGGCGAGGGGAGCTGATGCTGCCGCTGGGGCTCCCGGCCGGGTTGGTGCCCAGCTGCAGGGTATCCTGTGGCATACGGCTATCATTGGAGTCGCAGAACCGTTGAGTGTGGAATGACCAGTGAGATAGATGGTTGTAGTTCAGCCGTTGGTCCATGCCCACTAACCACGTCCCTCCGTGCCACGCCTCCACGTTTTTCAAATACCTCCAGAGATGGTGTCTCCAGCACCTCTCTGGGCAGCCTGTTCCAACACATCAACGCTCTTCCTGAGGATAAATTTTGCCTAATTTCCTCCCCTGTTGACTTTAACATTACTTTCTGCTTCTAAAACATATTTTACAGCTTTTTATCTATTCAAACAGTACTTTTTTGGGGGCAGGTACTATGCAGCGTCTACCATAACAAAGCCGTTCCTCAGTTGAGCTATGTTGAAACAGCAAAACATCCCTGTTCTGACCACATATCATCCACGTCCTGAAAATGAGGATTCTGTTTGTTAGTATTCCTGTGCCTTTACTCCAGGCGTCTCAGATGTGGCCGAGTTAATTGTTCACGGATGAGAATGGTGTTCAACACAAAAATATGGCATTGCTGACTTTGAGTAATTCTGTCTTTTGTTTAAAGATGATGAAAAAGATGATGAACCAGCTTATGCTAAGAAACGGAAACTAGACTCCCGGGAGAAGACAAAGAGGAAGAAGGTATAAACAGAATACGCTTGGTTTTAGTGTGATGAGAATTTAAATGAACTTGGATTCCTCTGGAATGTGGAACAAATACATGTTTACTGAATTTCTCTCTCCTGTTGGGTAGGGAATTTTATTTCAGCAGTATGCTTGCCTTTTGGAAAGCACAAAACTTCATGGACAGTGTTGTGGTAGAAACTCATCTGCTAAACAAAGTTTAAACCTGTTAATTTAAAGAGGTGTCTTAAAACGTTGTGATGGAGACTTCTGCTCATGGGTACAGGATTCACTGGTATTTTGTTTATCAAGAAACCTGGTAGCGTGAGCTTTTCTTGACTGATTTTTTCCATTGTGTCAAAGCCTTTTATAAAGGAGCATATACTAAAGATTCTTTAAGTATTGTACTGTGATTTGTTTGAATGATGCTGTTTTGAAATTTATGTAAAGATAGTCACTGGAATAAAACTACATTTTGAAACATCTGTGATATAAATGTTGCACTGCATGCCTGTTGAGTGGGTGCAATTAATTCTGTACTGTATGCATTTCGGTGCTGTATTTCTGAAGACTCAACAATCCTCAGGGTTTTGATTGTAATAAATACACAACTGCAAACAGAAATATTGACCTAAAAGTGGAGTTTAATATTAGATAAATCCTGATATCGTATGTTCTACATCATAAAACATGAAGCTAACTGATAGAGGAATTGAAGCATTTGATGTATTCTTCCAAAAGCTGAAAATAGCAGCTAGATATGTACATGAGAAATATTAAGATAAAGCTATGGCAGAGCCTTTACTGTCAAATTATGTTTACTTCAGTGCTAATGCTAGTTAAGCTTTTCATAGTATTCGAGCCAGTGCATGCTGCATCTGTGCTAACTGCTGCTTGGAATTTGGGGTCTGTAAATGGAAAAAGTAACAGTGGGCTTTGAGGGGAAGGTAGGGCTGCTCTAGGTTTATTGTCAGCTGAAGCATCTCTGCCTTAGCAATCTGCACTGAGATCTGCCTACTGATACAGGTTTATGTGGTTAAGCAATCAGTGTGCATGTCAACGTTCTACATTTTCCTTCTGTGTTGAGCTAACTTGAATTTGGTAGATTTTATACCCATATGTATATTTAATATTCATATTTTTAAGTGATCTTTAAAAAATATTCTTTTAACCTAAGCATAGAAAAGTGTATTTGTGGTTAGTGAGTATATGCAGCTTCAGTCATCTACTTCAGATTGCAGTTGTCATGAGCTACTGTTTAAGATCAAATGGTTTGAGCTCTTTTTACAGAGAAAGGAATTATAGTTTTGCTGATGTATTGAAGTCAGTGTCTCTGAATGAAAATGCTCCCTCTGGTCAGTTCTCTGTATCTTCTGATATCTCTGATATTGCTGAGAATTCAGCAGATGGCTGAAATTTGAGGGATTTGACATGAGGTGTGGGATTCAGTGGACTGCCTAATTCAAGACTCACAGCAGTAAGCCTCTCTGCTGCTGAAGTGCTGCTCGAAGTGTGTTACAGCTGAAGGTTAATGTCACTAGCTCTGGAAATAGGTCGCATTCCCACAATGGCCATGGCCAAGAAGGCTTTTGTCCTCGTATTGTGTGCCCTGCCTTTCTGCGAGGCAGCTCAGGAAGTTAGCATGCTAATCACTCCTTTTGTTTTCAGATAATACAATATACTTGGTGTCCGGTTGTCTTGAAGCTAACATTGTCAGATACTCAGTTTCCAAGGAGAAAAGCAGCATGTCTAATCAGAGAGAAGAATGATTAATTGTGTTATTTAGGCGCTTAGGGAAACCTCATTGTAAACAAGGACCATGGCAAAGACAACTATCTGTCTTCTTAGGACATCTGAAACAAGAAAGCCCGTCTGAAGTGGAGGTACCCAGATGAACCGATTCTTTTGGTGGATAAGTTTTTTTGGTAGAGGTGCTTGAGTCTAGGGAAGTTCTAGCATTGCTGCTCATGAAGCAGGCAGACCCTACAAAGAAGCCCAGAGCAGAGAGGGGACTGACCTTTCTGTGCTCAGAGACAACAATATGTCTGTTTTTTCTGAGTAACTGAGATTGTCTAAAGGAAATTTTGTATCCTCAGTGAGTTGTAAAGGGAACTGCAGACCTCCCAGGCATGGCCAAGGTCCTAAAGGCAAATTATGGCTCTGAAATTCAGAAGAATGAGAGGCATTTGGAAGTTCAGTCTGTGGGGCTACAGCCCAGAAAGCTTCCGTTGAGAGCTCTGTTTCTAGTGGCAAGCTTTGATAGTGTGGTACTTACTGAGCTCTGGAGGGAGAAAAGCATGGCGTGTGTATCTGGTACAAAGAGGCTGGTTGGAGCAGCTGGGTTGGGCTGGATAGAACACCACTGGTAGCCAGGAGAGGAAGAAAAGAAGAGAAAGCTCACTGATTTTTGTGAGAATTAGTAAAGTTTTACTCAGATACTCTACAACGCTTCTAAGAAAAAATGGTGGTAAACTAAATTATAATCCTCATCTGGGGTTGGACTTCCAGGTCAAAATTACAAATGAATTATCAATGATACAAAGAACTGTGAGGCTGCAAAGTTACCAGCTGCTGTTCAGGTTCCTCAAAGATGTCCGTATTCCAGGGAGGCTGTCACAGCCTTGTGATTATAGGAGTGCATCCAACACGTGCAGTGGAAAAAGAGGCTCTTCTCAGTGCTCTTTTTGGATGAGTAGGAGTGATGCTGATTCCCAAAGCAGGATGAAAATGGTAATGATGTAGTGCTTAAAACAAGGAGGTGAGGTAAGTGTGAAGAAATGAGCAATGAGAGTTTGTTTCAGAAGCTGAAGAGAAAAGATGAGAAGCTGAAGGGCAAAGTGAGGTTTGGGCTGCTAATAGAGAAAATTTGCCTCCTCTGTGCAATGGGATCTGGGAAATGCATGAGTGAGTGCTTACTGAACTTAAACTGATAGCTCAGCTCAAAAATGTCTGCCTAGAGAACAGTTTGTCCTGGATTGTCTTTCAAGAGGAAACAGTGACAGGGAACATACACCTCCGCTTACACATGTGGAATATTGGCTTTGAAAATCAGCCTGTTACTAACTCAGCACTTGCACTGTTTTTATGATGAATCAAATGTAATGATGATCATTGTGTGTAATGGGGGTATAAAAAAAAAAAAAAAAAAAAGGCAGTAAGAATCCCTACAAGCTTGATCTGAATTCTCTAAAAAAAAGATTTGTCAAGAGTAGAAAACTGGTGGCTGGAAGGCAATTTGTTTGCAATGAACACATTGTGCTGCCTCTAGATGCTGGCATAATAGCAGCTACACAATATAGATTTCCAGGAAAGGCAAGGTGATCTGGGGAAAAAAATTTCAAGTCAGTATAAAACTACAGCTGTTTCAGATAATGGCCCCCATGGCAGGCAATGCTTCCTCTGAGAAGTGCTGATGGAGAGATTGCTGCAAGGCATCACCCTGCTAGGCTGCTTGGTGTTCCTATGTGGAAGCTCCATGCATGCCAACGCTATCGAAGAACTGATTCATTTACAAATGCTTTGTGATAAGCTTCAGGCTGCCAGTGTGAAATTGAATCCTGTGAAATGCAGTGTGTTCTACAGAGACGTTTATCTCAATCCTGTAATCAGTGAAGGAGAGGAAATGGGAGCTGTGTGAGGCTGGCTGCTCTTTCTCTGATGACAGGAAGCTCATTTGCCAGTTTGCTCATCTTGCAAAATCGAGGCAGAATTTGGATGAAAAGGTGTAATGCTTTCACTCACCAGCAGGATACAACTTGGGTTTTCTTTTGCTTAAAAGGCTCCTGTGACCATTTGTTTTAGCTTGGGCCACTCAATATAAATAAGTTTAATACTGACACAGGCAGTTTGGGTGTGGGTTTAATGTGGGAATGGAGCAGTGTGTTGAAAGAATGTAGCAGCTTGATGTTACAGATAAACAGACTCCTTAAAATTCCAAATGGGATATGTTCAGAAAATCTCTTAGCAAAGGGAGGCACCTTAGTAAGAATATAACTCCAATCCTGCCAGCAATGTTTTCTGGCTAAGGTCAGGCTTAAAACGTGATGCAATGAGAGGCAGAGAGCAGCTAGGCATTCTGTGGGTTGGTCAAAACTTGAAGACTGAAACAAAAGCAGCATTTCTGTACAGTAGGTGATTGGCAAAATACAGAAAATTACCAACAGAAATGTCAAACAAATGGTTTGGTTGTTCAGGAAGCTTCCAGTGAGACATGGGAATCTTAGTGAATGAATCTTGATTCAAACCTTTTGGTAGCAGTGAATTCTTTTGTCAAAGCTAGTTAAGTCCTATAACGAGAAACCAAGAAATAGTGGGAATAACAGAGGAATGGGGATTCTAGTGAGCTAGTTCTTCTTTTAAGTCTCTGAGGTATCACCAGTCAAAGGAAACAACAGGTATTCATTGGAGCCTGCTGAATTTGTGTCCTCAGTAGATGTGGGCTTAGATCAGTTGGTCTTGGAAAGGGTAGTTGCACCACAGATTGGAATGGTTTTTTTGTTGCTGGTTCCTTTGAAGTATTTTCTTCAGGGCACTATGAAAAATTTGGAATTTTCAGGGAAGCTGGGACCTGTGGGGCTGGATTGACAAAAGAATGCAATGAATTCAGTGAATGGAGATAAGCATTTTTGGACCTTATCAAATACCTTTATCAGCGCTCTTCATTTAGAAGATGAAGTGCCCTTCATCTTTAGAATGCTTTCATCTTGATAGCTTTCAAAAGATTAATCACACCTTTGCTCTGCTGTGGCTGTGAGCAACAGCATGACTGTTCTGTGCTTTGCTGCTTTCTAACAGCACGAGCTGTTCTTGGGGGCAAACACTGATTTCCCTTCCCTTTGCTTAAACTTCTCCCACCTTCTTCATCCCTGTATATGGATTGACACAGAGTAATTCTGGGAAATAGTAACGGGGAGAGGAAGTGAAACCACAGGACTTACCAGAGGATGTTAATCCTCTCCTCAAAACAAACCAAACAAACTACACCGCCCAGCAGCAGGCTCAAAGCAAAAGCAACTGTGAGCTTTTCTTTTGGGAGGCAGAATGTGGGCCACTGTTAAAATTTTCTGGCAGTGTTGTTGAAAATTTTCTGACATGCCTTGATGAGTCAATAGAATTGCATCTTGTGTGACTGAGAGCTTTATATATATCTGAAATGTTTCAAAGACTGGTAATTTAACATAGTTATAACATCAGCGTGCCTGATAGCAAAAGCTTGTTTGCAGGCATGCTGTGTAATAGCTAGGAACGCTGGCTTTTGTATAAGCTCTGAAGTTTGCTTGCTATTAGTGACTTGTAACTGCTGTGTTCTCACAGGACCTTGGTGCATCACCACCTGCCTGTAAATATGCTGTATCTCTGTGGCAGTTTAAATAAGTCACGTTGCCATGATCTCTGACATAGTAATAAAATACTGCTTGCATCTTACATACTTCTATTTTTCTAAGTATCTATATAGGTACCTACCCAGTAGAGGGAGCTTTTGCTAGCTGCTGGCATCGTAGCTGCTTTAAGGAGCAGCACTACTTTATTCCATAGACCGCACAGAACCAACCTGCTAGTTTCAGGTTTTGTTGTTCTCTTTCTCTATGTTTTAATTAAAGAAGAAAAGAGAAAAAGAAGAAAAGAAAGGCAGAAAAAGATGGCCTGTTACTTGGAGGTAAGAAAGTGAGGCAGAACTGGCTTTGAAAAGTTCGACTCACCTGATTTTTCCACACTGCCATAAGCTTCTTGCTTTTCAAAGAAAAACAGGCATGTTTGTAACTTGAATTTTAAGCAGAAGTTTCACATCTTTTTTTTTTTTTTTCCTTCTTTCATAGAACTTGCAGAAATAAGGCTGGCACCGGTAGGTCACCCAGTCCACCTGCCCCATTTCCCATGGGAGTCTGTGCTGGAAAAGTGCTTCCCTGGAAGACAGCAATGCAGTGAACGCTGTCACCTCTTTCAGTCAAGTTAGTAGATTAATGATTTGGCAGGAATCAGCACAAACATGCAGAGGAACAAGAAAGGTAACACCTTTCTTTTCCATTTTGGGAGGCATAAAACCCACTGAAGTAACTCTGTGGCTTATGGACTTATTTACAGAGTGGGGACTCCTATACATAAGCACAGGTGTAAATGGCTGAGGATGACATTTGGAATTATCAAACATGATTTATCTCAGGTTTTTCTCAGTTCTCTAGTTGTAACATAGCCAAATAAATTGTAATTCCTATGTCAAATAAAGATTCTAAGGTCAACGACGAACTTTAGCAAAAGATACAGCTCCCGAGGGCATTTTTTGTAGTCAAAACAGCCTAGTAATGCATAGTATCCATGTTCCCTTGGAGCAGGCTTCTGCTGAGGACTGCAATGCTGCTGTACCTGGAGAAGTAGCCAGAACTGAGTGCAGGTAGGTCCTACAATTTACTTACAGAGTAGCCCTTAAAAGCAACCTTTTTTCTTCCTCAAGTCTGCAAAAAGAATGAAGAGAAATTGCCATTATACAAGACAAGAGGAGGAGGTCCTAAGAACTGACAAACTGCATGTGCTTAGGTTTTTAATTAAAGACCTCATTTAACTTTTCACAGGATTTTTGGCTCCATACAAAGCTGGAAGTTAATTATTTTGTTTGCTGTGGAAACACCTAATGTGATGAGATGTGCTTAAAGGCAAAGGTCACCATGACTTGAATGTACTCCCTATAGCTCCATGCATGCCTACATGGTCTGCTGCTGGATGTGACACAGGTGTGTCGCTGAGTGCTCTGAAATTCAGCCTTCAGCAGGCAACATGGGGGAACTCAGAGCAGTCATTTTTACACAGAGAATGTTATGCAGACCTTGGTTTCTGTTTTTTGTTTTTTTTTTCCCTCCCTTTCTACAAATGTCCCACACGTTTTCATAATGCATGATTTCACAGAAATCCTCCTGAAAAGCTATCACATTTAGTAACAGATAGAACTGATTCCTAAGTAACTCTATAGCATTTTCCATTGGTGCTTTTTATATCATACTCAAGCATTAAGGACCAGAAATAAAAGCTGTAGGGAAAAACTGTCTCTCCTAGTACTTGCTAATTCATTTCAGAAAGTCTTGATTTTCCACAGTTACACTGCATATGAGTTTTATTTGTTAAATAAGCAGCTCTTCTGTTCTTACTGCAGAACAAGCAGATCCTCCTGATCCTCCTAGTCAATGCTATAGGGTTGTTGGGAAGCTATTTGTGGTATAATCACTTTAATTCTATTTCTGATATCATGCTACCGGATCCTTTTCAATCTGCGGCTACATTTACATTAGTAAGTCGTTTGGCACAGTAAGACAATGTCTGTAATGTGAAAGCACACCGCAGGCTAACTCTGCTTTGCCCACCAACCTGCCACAGCTGGAGTGCATTAAAGGCACTCCTGGAGTGCATCTTCTGCTTTGGGCTTCATCCAGAAGGAATGCAGGTGATGCACTCTGAAAACCAAAGCACGTGCTGCCAAGGCAGTGGGGAGAGTCACCTCAAAAGTGCACTACTAACCTCAGCCAGTAAGCTCCTGTTACCACGGCCTGCTGCGTGGACAGCAGCATCTGCAGGACACACCTCACTGGCCAAAATAAGCTTTGCTGAGGCAAATGCAACTGTATTCAGATTGAGTCCAAGCTTTATGCTTTTGGTAGTGTGCCAACACTGCCTTCTAAACTTAGCTTTTTCCTTGTCTCAAGTTGTTTTTGTGTGGTTTTTTTCCATGTTAATGGTTCTTATGTTAAGCATGGGGGTTGGTGGAGAGTGAAAACTACAGTAAGTTTAAGCACTTATCCTTGCTTATCCATTGTAGCCAGTCTAGTAGCATTTCTTGTTAGACTTGCCATTCACTGCTGCAGCAGTTTATATTTGAAGCTTAGCTATGTGTGCATCCCACTACAGGCCATGGAAAACCAGCTGTATATGAAGCAAATGATATGTGAACTCACTGACAGGACTATGGCACTGAGCACCTGGTTTGTGATAGTGGCTGAGGCCTTGTTACATATCTAACAGTAGAGTAAGGAAAGTGATTTGTGTTTTTATTACGCCTTGAAAGAATGGATCCCTTTCCCCTCCCAGTGCTTTCTTCTCAGGCAAACTTGTAGCAAATTTGAATCTAGCAAGCTTGCAAAAACTTTTTCTTTGCCATGCAGTTGTCTTAAAAGATGAATTTCTCCCTGAGGACATTTCGGCAAGGTGAAGAGAGAGATTGATCATTTCCAGATGCTCTTTGCTGGCAGGCAAAGAAAAATTATTTCAGGTAATGTTTATGAGTGTGTTTCCAAAATATCCATTTTGTATGCAAATCGGGCAGGGAGAGTGCAAGCCAGCATGATAGACATCCTAAAAGTGCCTGAGATACATAGGTTTTCATTATTGTGGCTGTGGGTTACTGGGAGGCTCACCCCTGCTGACCTTTGGAGCTTCCCTTTTGTGTCTCCTATTTCCAAGCAGAGTAAGGAGGTATTTTTCATACAGAAATACAGAGGCCACGCTCAGTGTCCTCGTTAGACAAATCACCCAGCACTCCTTGCTTTAAAGTGGAATCAGACAAGTAAAAATCTATCGCTCATCTTTTATTTGATGAGCTGTGTGCCTTTGCTGGTTAGCTTCCTAAATACTTCTTGCTGGCATGACTTGGCAAATGACAATGGATTTGCCAAGAGGTTTCTGAGGGAATACCCTGCATCACAGAAGCAGAGAGACCTGATATATTTTATGTTATCTGAGACAGTGGACAGATGGGGAGAGTGAGGGTACATTAGCATCCTGTGCTTGGTGCACTCCATTTCAGCCTCTTGCAGAGAGGACTCACACAGCAGCAACTGGAGTCACTGCTGCTTCTGCCTGTGCACAAGAAGTCAGTACTTACTTGGGTGCTGACTGCCTTGCCTGGCAGCAACATCCTGTCTCTAATGACTACAATTTGATGACTTCTTAATGGTGAAAACTGAGAACCAACCGTTCCTTTTAGAGACCCCGATGTCTGGAAGCAACATCTGTGTCTCACTCTAAGCAGTTGTGCCACTGAGTGGTGGAAGCCATGGGATCATGTCTATCAGAAGCAAAGGATGTGCCTCTTGGTAAGCAGTCTTTCACTTCCGGCTGTTATACTTCTCAGGACAGCCAGTATGACAACACATCTGCTTGTGCACACTGAATCAAAGCAATCAGCTCTTGTAAGCCTGTCTCCATTCTGACACTGGTCTTTAAATCACTTAAACTGGTTGTCATGACTATTGATAATGATACTGAAGCTGTGTCCTGTAGCAGAAGTACAGCTTGCCCTGATGAACGGGACAGAAGACCCTGTCTAGTCCTGGGGGAAGAGGCAGTACTGCACTTTGCATCTAGAACTGGCAGCGGGATGGACAGAATTCTGCTCTGCGGTGACAGAACCCAGGATGTGGGCAGCATCCCTGGCTGAGCCCTTCTAGGGCCAAAGAAACGCGTAGTGGGCCTGAGGTGTAGAGCTGGGGTGGCCCTACTTTGAGCAAGTAAGTCTTCTGTGGAACCCTGTCCTGGTACTCATCCCAAAAGTGGTCAGCAACTCAGATGTGACTTAGTAAGTGAGGATAAGGAAGGAAAGAGAGAGAAAAGAGGGAAAGGTGAGAGTATAGTTCTCTGAGATTGTTTGGGTAGAGCAGGTGAATACCTAAGGGCCCTCATTACTGTGCAGAAAGGAAAATGAGGTTTAGAGGACAGGTTTAGAGCACTGCTTCACTTGCTGTGTTTCAGAAGACAAGCAGAGGGGGAAGGTGGCTCCAAGTCAGATTTTAGAGTGTTCTCTGCGAGAGCAGGATGTAGGTAGGAGGAAGCTGGAAGAAATTGAACCTCATCGTTTTTATGATTGAAGAAGAACCAGGTACTTAGCCAAAGAGAGCTTTGAATCCAAACACATGGTGCTAATGGTTTTGATGTGCTGAAGCTGTGGTTGGCCACCTGTAGTGCTCCAGCGTGGCTGAAATGCACTGTCGGTGTGGGGACAGAGTGTGCGTGTGTCTGTGTGTGTAGCCCACTTTCCCTTTCCAGGCCTGCAGGTTCTGACCTGCCAGCCACTGCCCAGACAGAGCCCTGCCTATATGGCAGCATGGCAGCTCAGGTGGGCTGCTGATGTAATGGGGTCTGAGCAGGAACCACAGCCATGATGCCTGATAGACAGCACACGTGGTTAGAATGTGCTGGGTGGAGTCCTATTCCAAATGATGCTAAAACTGGCAGCTTTGCAGTGAGACCTGATCTTTCTTTGTTGTTGTTCATGAAGATAGAAGCCTCTATGTAGTTGAAATCTGTTTTGTTTGGTTTGGTTGTGGGTTTTTATTTTGAGGAGAAGGGAGGTAACTTCAGGTCTTCAAAAGTAAAAATGAGATCAAAACCCTGGCAACTGTTCAAGACAAATGAGAAACCTCCCAATGAAGGGCTTTCTGTCACCTTGGAGACATCATTTAAAAAAGCGAGGTAGAGTAATTTTAGTTTCAGACTTCCCTTTGTCCTTGTCCCTCCCATGCAAATTCTGTTTTTGTACTTACATATCCTGTTTAGCTTTGCTTTTTTTCTATATAAACAGGGGAATTTGGCAAAGCTAGGAGAACACTGAAGATGACCTTGCACATGATGTTTCAGAGCATAAAACCAGTGCTTGGAAACAGACAAAGTTAAACTTGCCCAATAACAGATTAAAAAACAAGATCAAACATTTTCAGATCATACAGATAAACATAAAAAGCTTGGAAGTCTTATTTTATATTCTTGGACTTTTATGTGTTGCTAGGTCTTTATTCTGCAGAAGAATATGGGATTTAGGCAACAAGGTTTTTGTGATAAGAAGAGAGGATGGAGAAAGATTAAATAAGGAATAATCTAATATGCAGTATGGATGTAATCTAGTAACTATTCACTGTCAGAATGGGCACTGTTGTTCTGTGCTGTGGAGCTGCAGGGGTTACCAGGTGAGGCTGTGCCATGGCTGGAGACAGGAGCAATTAGAGAGGAGATTAGGATAAAGTAGTGCTTCTATCCACTAAAGAATGTAAATATTTTGAATATTTTCAATAGCTCACACTTCTCAATACCAAACCTCCTCCAAATGGTACCATGCAGGCCAGCTACAGGAAGCACGGAAGCCTTTCTGTGTACCTGAAATTACCTGAGATACGTAGACTTTCCGCTCCCACTCAGAAAATATTTCAAAACAAATTGTTTTAAAATTATTTGACAGATTAGATTACATTTAAATATCTATCTTATTGTCCTGGTAATGTTCTTGGAATGTGGGAGGGAGCCATGCAGGATGGACCGGCAGTCAGTGTGCAGGTGCCCAGGGCCACCTCCTCCTGCAGGACTGCCACAAGCAGTGCGGGGTGGGAAAAGATCCTGCACAGGGCCGTGCCATGGGTTTCACTGCACAGCCACAAGCAGAAGTTCCATACGCCCCTTTCTATGCACATATTTTAGAAGAATATCATGCGATCAGATGTAAGCTGTACTGCCGTGCACGTGTGCACTGCTGTCTGATGGTGACCACCACCTCTTAACCACAGGCTTAACGAGGCTTATTCAGTACAGATTCAATATACTATGTAGTTACTATGTGATTTTAGATAATTCCTACATACCACCTTTTCCATAAATGCTTTTCATAGAACAGTCACTGACATCTTATTTTCCCCTCCTGGTTGCTGCTTTTGGGATAACTCTGTGTTTCCTCACAGCCACCCCTCAGTCTGGTGGTGCCTGTTGACGTGTCATGCTGTAATGCACACTCCACCTCAAGGAGGATAAGGTGGCATTTCAGCTACGTTCATGCCATAGGATGCCTGCTGCTTTGGATGAGGGGCAGGGTGGCTGTCAGCACTTCCAGTTCGGGAGCCGTTTTTGATAGCGGCCATGGGGAAAGCCAAAGAAGTCAAACATTGAGGTGAGTTTGGGCCAAGTGTGATGCCCATGTCTGCCGATGACATCAGTGACAGGAGGCAAGAGCTTGTGGCCCATAGCAGGGGCACACTGAGCTGTTGTTATGGCTCAGGCCTTGCAAGTGTGACCAGTGAAGGGGTGCAGAGCACAGGCAAGATGCTACACTGGCACATCCTGTAAGCCAGGACTGACAGAAGAGCTGACCAACACCAGGTTTACGTGTTTAGAAACATCTTCTAACAGGAAGAGACACTTAAAATTAGATTGGCCTGAACGCGAGCAGACAAGATTTGTGATTAAGGGAGCACAGATTAGTTTATAAATGTATTTTTTTCACCTCAATTTTCTTGGATTCTGTTGTGTCTACTGAGGGTGAAGCCGAAGAACAAACATTATAAGGGACACAAAGAATTAAAAGAAGCTTGGCCACAGTACCTCCCCATAAGCTGCTGTGTGACTGCCTTTTGTGTCATCATAGTGCTGAAGGAGAGCTGGGAGCGAGCTGTCAGCAGATGGTAAGCAGCAACCCTGGCAGGTTTGCAAATGAGGGAATTTCCCTGCCTGAGCCAGTGGGATGAAGTACTCATCTTTGCTGAATTGCTCTTTACAAGTCAAGAAAGCCCATCAGGTCAAAACATGTGCTTCACTGTGGCTGGTCTAAGGAGGAAAGCTTTTATTCTCCTGAGCAACACAGCTCTTTCTCTGTTCCACTTGGTAGGTACACTCCAAGAGATGCAACGAAATAAGCAAGAAAAAAAAAACCCAAAAAACAAAAAGAACAATAACAAACCCAGGCTTCATTTACTTTTCTAGTTTTCAGTCACCCTAGTGAAGTGGTGCTTCTGTTCTGCAAACAAGCTGGATGTGAGCACACTGACACACGCACAGGCTTCAATGTCATCGCCTCTTACTACCAGCTGCATTGTCTGCTCCCTTTGCTACACACACAGTGGAGAGACAGAACAGAGTGGTTCATACGTAAAACTCCACGGGGTTTCTCTGGCTCTTTTTTTCTTTCTCATTTTGTGGCTTTGCAGCATACAGAGTAGCTATGATGAAGCAATTACATACGCAAACATACAAAGGTGTTTGTTTTTTCTGAATGATAAAATTATTTTGAAGATGTGAAAACCTACAGAAACAGCATAGGTTGCTTAAAACTGGAGGTTATAACTACAGATTTTTGAGCACAACACAGTATACAAAGTTCTTAAAAAGGATCTGTGTTCCAATTTAAGGACTTTCCACTTCTCTTCTTAAATACTGGCTTTCCTTTTTACAACATTTGGACCCTTTGCACTTCACTCAGAGTTGGAATTCAGAGTTCTGAGGCTGCTGATTGAATAAAAATTACTATTTCTAATGGTAGAAGTGGAAAAAAAGGAACTTCAAGAAAGGGGATTCTCCTCAGAACACGTTCATTAAATGTGTTCTCCCAGTCCGAACTGGAAATCATTCAAGATATTTTCCTTACTTATTGAGTTTTGCAGGATTTTTAATTAAATACATGTTGTATGTGCAGCAATTTTAGGACACTCTACACAGCAGCATTTATGGTAGGTGCACCCAGCAGTGCTGAGGGTCTGCCTGCCTGTGCTGTGCTCCTGCTCAGTGTCAACAGATACTGCTCTTGGATGCAGCTCATGGCTACTTAGGAGATGAGTTTCTAAGTTTGGGCCAGTATGCAAATACTGTGAGAAACTGAATGATGGCAATGACTTTGTGACAGCACACTGCTGAGAATTTTGTTCTTCTTGGGGCAGAACCAGCAGGAAAATTCTTTCTTGTGACTTACAAATGTGGTCCCAGCCAGAAGCATATAGTATAAAATAGAGAATGGTTATTTAGTATTTTAAGTTCCTTTGAAGAGGCTCTTCTGATGTTTAAAGCATAAATTTGAATTTGTTTATCTTTTTCCTGACCATACGACATTCTTGTCTTCAGTGTTAACATTCACTTCAACCCGTGTGGAATGTCACTGATCTGTTGGTTTTGTCTCCATGTTAGGAGAAGGCTATGGTGATGATGGTCATTACACCTACTATTTTTACTGTGTGGGTGATGCCTTGGCTTCCTGTTAGCCAAAATACTTTGGTATTTTTAGCATATCTTCAGGGGGACTGGCATCCTGCAATAGCACTCTCATGCTGTAAGATTGCAGAGGTGGTAATGACAGTGCTGAAGTTCAGTGACATGCTTTGGAAAGCTCACTGGGAGGTTAGCATGTGTTTCCTAAAAAGACAAACATCATCTCAAAAAACTAAGTGCAGGATACAAAAAAGAGCTTGAGCTTCTGACGCACTGCTGTTTGAATAAAGTGCAGAAGGCAGAACCATTAATGTTCCAGCTGCCTAATTCAGCTATGAACTGAAATATTTTCATCACACTACTTATTTGAATCACTTCTTATTTCTTTCCTGTTTAATTTTAAATTTAGCTTAGCAGGACAAGCAGACTACTGGCAGTACAAGAGCATCACAGGATGGACTGGCAGAGCTTGTGTTCCTGGGAGCATCCAGCAGTTGGTGGCTGCCAGCCAAAACCTGTGCTGGGTATGGGATCTCAACAGCGCTGCCTCTTAATGCATTTTTTTAAATTAAGGAGATTTTTGGCAAGGATGTACTTGAGGAGAGAGTCACCGGTCTGAGCCAAACACTTGGCTGCTCTAGAAGTCTAAAACTTGCTTTTAAATAGTGCACCCCCAACTTCAAATGGGGCTGGAGACCAGGGAGTCAGTGGTGGAGCCAGTTTGGTCATGAACATCTTTGCTTTTGTCTGGCCTTTAATCTAGCAGGCTACTCAGGCCTAGAATATAAATGAATTAGTGCTCTGGTTTGTCCTTGTAAGAAGATAAACAGCTGTATTCCAAACCTGGGAGCCACTGGGGTGCCTCAGCTGGCTTATCAAGAATAGCTCTGGGGGTAACAAAGATGTGGATGGCTGGAGTGGTGTCTGCATGCAAAGCTCAGCTGCTCTGCAGGATGGAGATAATGCATGCTGCCATTAGTGGCAGCAGGGGCCAATAAGTTTCCATGGAACTGCTGCTTTGGTCCATTTGGATATCAGGAAGGCAGACGTTTTCAGTAACTGGAGTGCTCAGAGATTTTATTGATTAACAAAATCTTAGTCTGGTGATGGGGGAAAAAAAAAAACAAACTTAAAAACGTTTTTCATGTACAGAAAAATGCAGCCTGCTATTTGTTTATAGTCACACTGTATTTAACCAGTCCTGAATGTTTGTCAGTGTCCCAGTGAGAGCTCTTCAAGTTGGTGCAAGCTCTGTTCCCATCCCACTGAAGTCACTTTCACATTCTGTACAGGGCCTGCTGAAGCGAATCACGTTCTGCACTGTGTGCTCTGCAGCTCCTGAACAAAATGGGCTGAGCTGGAAACAAAAGCTGGGCTTTGACTCCTGCTGCACTAGCTCAAGTGAGTTCCAGCCAGATCCTTAATGTTATTTTATCTGCAGGGGTTGGTTTTTTTTGTTTTGTTTTTGGTGGGGGTTTTGTGTGTGTGTGTGAGAGATCAATGCCACCTCTGTTGGGCAAATACAGGATGCATAGGGATTTTAAAAAAATAAAATCTAGCTGCCAACAAGAAAAAGTGCTTTGTAACCATTGCTTGGAATGGAAACAATTTTCAAAGATATGGATCAAACTGTGTTTATAGACCAACCGTTGGCAGCTTTTCCCTGGGCCATTTCCTGTGTGCCTACTGCAGAGAGGACTCATGGAAGTGTTTAAACTAACATCTAAACCATATGGAACACGAGGAAAATACTGTGCGAGGCTGCACAGAAAAAGAACAGTGATGCTGAGTTTTCTTTTGTTTCCCCAGGCAAGAGACATGGGAGAACAGGCCCAAGGAAGGACTGGGTCATAGCCCAGAGGTGCTTTCACACCCCTGTGGTTCTGCGACTGCATGACTGAGGTTGGACGGACCTTCAGAGCTTTGCTGTGCTGCATGTGTATGGGATGGGATCACTGCTGCGGGGCCTCAAGGGGGTCATGACTAGAAATTTGAATCAATTTTTTTCTTTAGGAAGATTCGACTTAAAATGTCATTAATAATTAAACTATACAATGGCTTGGGTTGGTAGGGCCCTTAAAACTCACCCGACTCCAAACCCTGCAACAGCAGGGACGCTGCTGCCAGCTGAGGCTGCCTAGGGCCCCCTCAGCCTGCCCTTAAGCACTCCAGGGCTGGGTGCATCCAAGGCTGCTCGGGACAGCTCTTCCCTCCGACTTTGGCAAGGGACAAAATCCGCGAACACGTGCCGTTTTCCCCAGACCCCGGGCAGCGCTCCCCGCGGCCCGCTATGCCGTACTGCTCGGCGCTTCGCCGACATGGCGGCGGGCACCAGGTGCGGCGGCGAGGGCTCTCCTCGAGCTGCTGCCGAGGCGGTCCCAGCGCCCGGGGCGGCGCGGCACCGGCCCCCGTCGGGGAGCGGCGATGGGGCGGCGGGGGCATGCGCACTGCGGGGCGGCCTCTCGCCCCGCGCAGCTATGCCAAGTATGTGCGCGGCGGCGGCGTGGCGGCAGCCGGGCGCGGGGAGGCACGCCGCCATGGGGCAGCTCCCGCCGCGCCGGGGGGCCGCCGCCCGCTGAGCGCCCAGGCATGGCCGAGCCGCTGCGCAGGACGCTCTCCAAGCTGCGCGGCAGGAGGTCCCCGCGAGGGGCGGCGGCGGGCGGCGCGCACCGGCACGGCGGGGGCTGCGGGCCGCAGGGTAAGAGCCCGTCTGCCCGGGGCGCCGGGGGCCGCGTCTGGCGACGGAGCGCTCCCACGTGCGGAGCGGGGCGCGGGGTCGGTCCCCTCGGAAGGGGAAGGGGAGGGGCGCGGGGCGCTGGCGCGGCGCTTCTCCGAGAAAACGGTACCGAAGCGAGTTTCTCGGCGCTCCGAGCTCCGCTCCGCTCCGCGGGGCTGTTGGCGGCGCTCCGTGCCGCGTCTGCCCGAGCCGTGTACGCGGTGCGGCTCGGCGCGGTGCCGGCGGGCGGCGGGGAGTGCAGGTAACGAAAAGGGAGCCCCGAGGCGGACGGGGCGGCTGTGCCGCGCAGGTCGGTGCGGGGAGCGGGCTGCGCCGGGCTTTGGAGCTGCAGTTTTTTTCCAGAGTTTGCGAAGACTTCGCGTTTGTTTCGAGCAAAAGTAATGCTGTTCTGCAAGTTCCAACGTAGGTCGAGAATCGGCCCTCCGCGGGCGCGTTTTCACAACGTCGCTCGTTCTTCTCGGGACAGAATTCCCCGTTTCCACGAGAGGCCCTCGCTGTCAGAGCGCTGCCCCGTGCGGCTCATCACGCGGCCGTTCGCTGCTCTTCGCCTCATGACCGTTTGTCATTCTCTCGCATTTGTTTCCTCCCTGTTTTTTTGCACAGTTTGATGCTTACGGACCGTGCTTTGACCGCGCTGCCGTCCCGCCGCAGCACAGCCCCGCTGTGTGCCGGGCGGTGTGCAGGTTGGGCAGGGAGCGGGTGGCTGTTGCAGCCCCGGAGCTGTGCGTTCTGCTGGACCGTGTGCGGTGGGACTGGGACGGCCGTTCCCCGCTGCGTTATGACCTGAAAAGCAGCGCCTGGCGTTGGGATGAGATGTTTGATATGTGTATGTAATAGGCACGGGATTTGTCGTGACCTCAGCTGAGCTGAAGCACTGCATCTGGGGCTCTGGAGGTGCTGTGGTGTTCCTGTATTATAACTTTAGTGATTTATTTGACCTTGTGTAGATGCAGTGGGAGGTGAGTTGAGCGCCTGCCTGTTTGTCTGCCCTTCTGTTTGTTCACCCCAGCACTGTGCGGAAGCCTTTTGGGGAGCGGTGCCTCATTCCGTGTTGTGCAGGGTCTGCCTCTGGAAATGCTCTGATTGCGCTGAACAGAGCCAATGGCGTTCTGCTGAATGAAGCTTTGCTCTGGAGCAGAGAGCACATTTGTCACCCCTGTAGCTCTTTGAGCTTCCTATTTATTTGAATTTCTGGTTACTATAACAGATGTTGGCGTTTGGGAGTTGCTGTGCTCCGTGAAGCTGCTGGGTGCTCAGATGCTTGCATGTGAAACAGTTTGTTATTAAAATAAACACCCACAGAAGGACTTTCAGGATCAGGGCCAAACTGGAATAAAGGGGAAGCAGCATTTGCAAACACAGCCCTGGATTGTGAGAGCTGTGCTTGGAAGACCTAAATGCAAGTGTATCATTTGGATGGGATTCAGTGAGCGTTTGCAATCAATGGCTTTTGGCAGAGCTGGCTGATTTGGAGACTGAGAGTGGAGAGCTGTGTGGCTGCGGCGTGCCCCTGCAAGCAGGAGGTTATTGCAGTGCTCTGCAGCTGCTGCTGGCCGCTGTTCCTGCAGGAGGCTCTTGTGGGTAGTGCAATACAGGGCTGCCCAGGTGTGCACTGAGGGCACCACGGCACGGCACTGCCCAGCGCACAGTGATTCTGAACGTGTCTCAGGGTCTGTGAGTTGGGGGCTGTGGGTTGGCAGCCCTGCAGAGGGCCTTTGTGTCCCTGTCAGTGCAAGAAGCGGCAGGAGTTGCTGTCGGTGGGCATACAGATCTGGCATGGTGCATGTTTGTATTGGCATAAGTGCTATTCCTCAGCTCCATGGAGAAGGGAGCTTTGGGGAGGTCAGGGTAGAAGCACCCTGCCTGTGGAACACCATTACAGGTTTAGCTTTGCTGTAGTACAGTTGTATCAAGTTTGAACTTGTGTATAGAGTTTGATTTGTTGTTAAATGAAAATGAAAAATCTGTTGTAAAATGATGTATTTAAAAACTTTTATTGATTCTTCCTCTCTTCTTTTTGTCCTCACAAACCAAGGGTTGTTCATGCCCTGGGCAAAGTGTATGGCAGTAAGGATGGTCCTTGTTGGAGGCTTCTGAGCCAGATAGATCCCCATCTTTGTTTTCTACTTAAATTCTGCCCTGAGCGCAGGGTATGGCAGTAAGGACAGTCCTTGCTGGAGGCTTCTGAGCCAAATAGATCCCCACCTTTGTTTTCTACATTGTAAATACATCGTAGGAACAATGGATAACAAACCCACTGCACGCACAAAATTACCAGAGCAAAAAGATCCTTTTCTGCCTAAGTCTGTCTGACCTTTACACAGAACTCTCACTGCCATTTACCTAAATTACACGGTGTTAAAATACAGCCCAACAAGCCTGACTTTTCATTAATTACACACATGTTCTGCTTTGGCAGGCTGACGTGTAATTTGATGATAGCATCACCTTGTCTTTTGTCCTTTCAAATGAGGTCTAAGGCGAACGTGATACGATGCTGTATGTCTTCATCTGTCCTGCTAAAAGCAATGCGATATTCTGAGCATTTGTCTCTCCTCTCTCTCCCGTTCTAACAGCAGATCTAATAGAAAATGTATACGTAGCCCCGCGGAGCAGGAAGGAGCCCAAGTCTCCAAAGGCAAGCGAGCTCCCCGAGCACCGGCCACAGATGAACAGCATCACTGTTTCGAAGAAGCGCAACTGGCTGCACCAGAGCACCCACCGAGCCCCCCGCCTGGAGGGAGAAAGCACGTGTAAGAAGATACCAGGGGCTGTCACCCAGGCCCCACGGTCCCCCAGCCCACTGCCCTCACCAAGGGTGCGGGGGACTCCTGCCAGGTCCCCGGCAGGGCCGGAGCGCCCCATCCTTGGCTGTGGTGCTGCGAGCGCCCTTCCGAATGCCACAGGCTCTGCCGCGCTGCAACGCTGTGCCTTTGGCGAAGACAACGATGCAGATGATGAAGGAGAAATATGGTATAACCCCATCCCTGAAGATGATGAGCCAGATGTCCTGAGAGTCCTCCATCCTGCTGCCCATAACCCTGTCACTGTGGACTGCCCCACAGGCTGCTGCAAAAGATTGCCTGTCCGGGACCTGGGGAGGGCATTAGGACCCCTCGATGTTCCCCCATGCTCCCCAGAGAGAGCGGGGGACACTCAGCCTGGCGAGCTGGGTCCTGCCGACACCGTGCAGCCCGGAGAGCACCTGCTGCAGCAGCGGCAGAGGTTTGCCAGCAAGCCCCAGAGCGTGCTGGCAGCAGAGGAAAATCCTGCATTTAAGTGCCCCTCAGCAGGTAAGAGTGTTTAGGTAGACAAAGATGTCTTATCCTCTGCTTTCTTTGTAAAGAATGATAAGCCTTTCTTATGTTTCTTTTCTCTTTCTCCTCCTTTTGTCTGGATCAAGCACATTTCCAGTAGCAGTGCATGTTATGTTCATTAAAAAGAAGAAAAAAAAAAAAGAAAAAAAAAAAAGGAAAAAAAGGCTCAGGAAGGGATATTGATACCTGCTAAATGTAGAGCGGCACAGTGACTTTTCAGCCAGTTTGCTCACCTGGCATATCTGGATGTGGTTTGCCTCTGCCTATGGAGTCAGCTCCAATTTGGAATCCAGTTCCAAACAGACCATGTTTGGTCTGGCTCCAAGCTGGCTGAAAAGAAAGGTTTTACCAAGTGGGCTTAAGCATGTTAATGAGAGGACCCACTTAGTTTCCTTTCTGTTCGTTAGTGTCTCATTTGGGTCTTGGGTTCCAGCCTTTAAATTGCTTAATACCTTCAGAAGTTTCTTTAACCTACTGTCTGGGATTTTTAATAAATACTTTTTGAGAGATTATATAAATGCCATTTGTAATCATCTGCTTTGTGTGGGTATACAGTATTTGTGTAATTGAAAGTGGAGAGGCCCTGGAGCTCATTTCCAGGCTCTCATTCTGCATTGCCCTCTGGAGGAGCTCTGTCCCCCTCCCACTCAGTTCTGGCAAATTGGCCCCAGATCTGTAAGTTCAGAAGCTGCATTGCCTGGACTCAGCGCAGCGATGGCTTCTGGGAATGGGAGATGTTTTCAGAGGCACCAAAGCAACTTCTGTAAACAGCAGAAGAAAAAGTACTCTGTCCTCTCTTCTGGGAGCTCACATTTTGTTCTCCTTGTGGAAATACTGCTGATCTGAGTGTACTTTCAGTTCCAAAGTATTCTGAGAACATTTATTTAGAAATAATTCACTTTATAGCCTGCATTAAATACTTAGACCAGTTATGTCTGCTTGCAAAATCACTGAAATACCATGATGTTATTTTTTTCAAAGCAGTTTGGAGAGGTCAGGATGTGGGGTTGTTGGGAAAGTCACGAGCACATTCTGCAGGCTGTTTGACTCCAATTTAGTCATGAAGCCCGTGATGTACAGGTGATTCTCCTTAAAAAATGAAACCTTAATGCAAGAAGGAGAATGCCCTTTTTTTTTTTAAATACTGAAGAAACATTTATTCCTGAAAGCAAAATGATGTGTTTAAAGCGTCTTTCCTGAAACCAGGAAAAAAGTGTGGTGAATTTCCCCCAGTAGGTTTGGTATGCTCAGAGCTGATTAAGCTACTTTGAATGCAGTTCTTCTTTGGCATGTATTTAACAGCGACCAGAGTGAATGGATGAACTGGTGATGAGATGGATCCCTGCTGCTCAGTAATTGGCTTTATCATGGAGAAGTGATTTTTTTTTTCCTCTCTTCAGTTAAGGTGTCTGCAGTTACTTTCAGTCAGATTTAAAATGACAGCTCATCCATGTGCAATTACTGCACATAGGCAGCATGGACAGTTTAATATTATTTGTGCTTGAACCTTGCTTGAATTACACAGTTGCTGCAAAATAGATGTCTATATACGTCAAGCAGTAACCCCTGACAAATACTCAATTTCTGCTTTGGGGAAAAGTCTGCTTATCTTTGTTACTGCTGTCATTTTATGTGTCGGTAGTGCTTAGTACTGGAGTCTAAGAGAGATTCTGAGAAGCAAAGACAGAAAGAAGTAGGATACTACAAAAGACAGTAAAAGACATATTTTCATTTCAATTATTATTGTTATTATATACTCAGTATATTATTTTTATATATAATATATACAATTTTCATTTGATGCTATCTTCTTTGGTCAGTGCAAGTAGTTTAACCATTTAAGCTTTAAATAATGCTGCCTTATTTGGATCTCAAATGTTGTACAGAGGAAGCAGTCATGTTTTTTTTTTTTTTTAATGGGAACTTGAAGGAAAAATATAACAGTTTGGTTGCTGAGAGTCTTCCCAAACAAAGTAGTGAATAGATCTGTCCTGTAAATGTTTTGTTTAAATGGTGTATAGATTGTAGAGGTGTTGATTTTCCCATTGTCTTAACTTGCATCATTAGTTCCAAGTGTTAATCGGGTTAGTTTCTCCAGTAAAGGCCATGTATGCTAATAGGATTTGTCAGGTGATTTCTTGTTGAATAATTCTAGCTGTGCTTGTTTTTGGAAAGGAATAAAAACAAAACAGCCCTATACTACAGTAATTAGGAAACACACTTTTGTTTATGTATTTTGTTTATGTCAAACAGACAAAAGGTGGCAGTAAGTAGAAAATTTGCTGAGGTAGAAATGTAGAAACATAGCACCAGCTCATGTTCTAAGGCTACAGGAGAGGAATTTAGGTGGAAATTTACGTGGACAGTGGAGCATGTTTTTCATATCACATTTAGAATTTTTCAAATGTATGAAGTTCTGAAGTAATTTTTTCTTACGACTGTCTGACTGTATTCTAGTTGAATGTGTTGCTAGACATCTGTATCACTATCAAGGCACTGAAGATTAGAGTCCCTTTGTAGTTCCTGCTTTTGCCATAGGTTTACATTGTGGATCTTCAGATAGGGCCTTTTTTGAAGAATTTGTAATGCTTCTGCTTTTAGTACCAGCATTTAGAGGGTAAGTTTAGACTAGATATTAGAAAGAAATTTTTTACTGTGAGGGTGGTGAGACATTGCAATGGGTTGCCTGGCAAGATTATGGATGCCCCTTCCCTGGAGGTGTTCAAGGCCAGGCTGGATGGGCTTTGAGCAACCTGGTCAAGCAGGAGGTGTTCCTGCCTGTCGCATGGGGTTGGAACCAGGTGATCTTAAAGGTCCCTTCCAACCCAAACCATTCTACGATTATTTCTGGGGGTAGTGCCTAACTGATCAGCGGGGTCATTTCATGTCTGTGTCTCAGAAGCATTCTACTAGGGCATGCTGATTCTAGCCTGTGAGAACCCTGGCTATGCTTTTGTTACTAAACATGTGTGCTAGCTAGATGTCTGGCTGCAAAATCCTGGTAGGAGTCATTGGAAATTGATTTTTTTCTCAGCACTGCAGGAGGTGATGGTTGGTGCTGTGTTCCAGTTTAGCTCCAGCTGGGCACGTACTGGAGTTAATCTGAGCAGTGCTCTTCCTTCACTTAAATGGATGCTCTTCTGGTTTATAAATTTATTGTTTGGGGCCCGAAATTTTTAGGCTTGCATGTTGCAAATGATCTTTGTCAACAGGCCAAGAAGTGTGTCCTGCTCCTGTAGAGCTGAGTGGCAGGATTTTGGGGGGGTGACATGTAGGTTTTGAAGGCTGTGGGCCTACCCAGGGATCTGTCTTTGATCCGTTTTGGTGACCTGCTGTAAGGACCTGCTGGGGAGCGGGATTAGGAGTTGTAGCAACCGAAGAGTTGAAGCAGTTAATGTGAAGTAGTTATTTATTTCATCTTATGCTTTGTATGGAATCACGTTTCTGTCATCTTCCTGGGGAAACAGAGATACTTTTTATCCCATGAAAGAAACCACGAAGGAAAGAGGAGGTGGTGCGAGCAGTCCAGAATGAGGCACGCCTGGCACCGGGGCCGATGGCGCTTGGTCCAACGCCAGCATTCTAATGAAGCCTGCTGTGGTCTGTGTGACACGGAGAATCATTAACGTTTAGAATATTTGCCAGGAATTCATTCCTGTTTGCAGATAGCAAGCTCTTAAGGCTGGCAGGTGACCTGAAGTGCTGTTAAACATGCTCGTTGTCCCCTCTCAAGGGGTCACCCAGCAGGGGGCACTGAGGACTATGGTGGCGCAAGGTCAGCCCGACAGGCTCTTACAGCATGGTCTGTGTAAAGTAGTGTGTGACTTCTGCTCCTGAAAACGTAACCCAAGCATTGGTGGGTTTGTCACAGCTTACTTAGTGTCTGTGTATATTTGGCATTGTACTGGAAGAAAATGAACAACTGTTACTGAGTGCTTAGAGCATTCTTTTTTACCCTTTTAATAGTTCCTCCATTCCTTGACTCTGAAGTGCCACGTGGGGTTGAACACAGAGACCAAATTGGTCAAAATGGCAGTTTTCATAAAGGTTAAAAAAGGACTAAACTTTTAGCAGACTAAGAGAAGATTCTTCCTTTTGTTTAGATAATTATTACGTAGAAATTATTACATTCTATCCTCATTTAAGGAAGTTTTTTTGCTAATATGGACAAGGGAGGTTACTTTCCTTGCATATTAGTTGAAGTTGCTTGCATTTGATATAGCATGAATTCTCTTAGAGCTGTTTTAAGCTTTGCAGTGAGTCTTTCTATCAGAGTGGATATAGAACTATCTGAGGATGAAATGGGCCTGAGCTGGAGTAAGTTACCAGCCTTTGGCATCAGTAGAGCCGTGTTATTTGTGTCAGCTGAGGATCCAGATCAGTATCTCTTCTGGAATCTAGCACAGAAAAACAGGAGCCTTTTTTTCATTCAGCTGTCATTTGCTCTGAGATTGATTTTGAGCTGTTTGGGATTTTCTGTTCTGATTTGTTGCTTTTGGGGGGGAAAGAGAAAAAAAAAAGTTTTCCCAAGGAATACATTGGGTTGACTTTTAAAAATAGAAAATAAAAGTAAAAAAACTAGGACAAAGGGAAGCTTTGGTTTTGAAAATTATAGCAGCTTAGTACAAGCTGTATTTTTTTCTTCTTGCTAAAATGAAATGGCCTAGAAGTTAGCTTTCATACCATATCATTTTTCTAGAGATACACTTTCAGTGTCAGATGCAGCATATTAAGTATTTCAGGAGGATGGCAGGAAAAATGAAATTACATATGAGCTTTAGTTGGGTCAGAGCTCAGCATTTCCCTTAGTTATTATGAGCATGGCTGTTTGGTATTTTAATAGCTCTGTGATGAGGAACTGATGTTTTCTGACTTACTCATCTCATCTTGGGGTCCCGAAAATAAATCACAAGCTTTCTCATGAGCTTTAGAGTTACTCAGAACTCTTCCTTAAGCGAAGTGGAATGTTGTACATAGAATGGGATAATCAAATATGCCTGTAACATAGCAGGCATTGTTGGCAGGCAGTCTGACAGTGTCACGTCCACCCAGCCACAGAGGGACAATGCTAAGCTGGGCCAGAGATGAATGTTACCATGTGGGATCATGACGTGTGCCTGACAGGCTGTGTGCTGTGAGTTTGCCTGCTGTTCCTGTAGGACAGACCTGTGTAGGTGAGGTTTCGGGCCCTGCTGTCCCCTGGCCATGAGGGGAAGGGCAGCTGATGGCTGTGGAGCACCTCATGTCCAGGGGCCACCTGCCCTGCCTCTGTGGCTGTGGAGAGTCTTTGTCCCATGTGTGGCCATGCTGTGAAGCAAATAAAAGCTGTGGGCTTTACTCATCCACCTGAACCAGCTCAGAGAGGCAGCCCTGGTCCAAAGTCATTTGGCTCAGCGCACTGCTTTGTCCCTCGACTTGTCCCTCGGCAAGCTGTCCATCCCTGGGTTGGGGTCTCCTTCGAAAGCTGCTTTCTTCTGCACTTTGTGCAGCTGATGCTGCCAGGAAGTGCGAGGCGGGTGTGTGGAGTGCATTGTCAGCTGCACCTCATCATCACCCCCCTGCTGCCTGGGCTATCATTGGCACCCCAGTGCCTCTGGTGCTTCCCTTCCTCCTGCCAGTCTTCCCTAAGGCATTTCTGAAGTGTCAGATGCCACCTGTGTGGAACAGAAAGGAAGCTGGGCCAAGTGAGCAGGCTGGGAAGTGGAATGTGATGTGACTGTGCTGCAGGTCCCTATTGCAGCTCGTTAGCAGTCGTCATGTGTACATTTGGAAATGATGTCCGTGTCTCAGCACATCTCTGGCATTAGTGGGGGCATGACACTTGTGGGATTGGTCCCACATAACCAGCTTCTGCCAGCTGTGTTTTGTTTTAACCCTTTGTGATGAAGGCAGCAGAAGTCATACCTGTGAAAGTCAGAATGTCAGGTTGCCTCTGCAGCTCTCCTGAGATGGAGGAAAGTTGAATGGGCTGGCCTGCTTTCTTAAGCCCGTGCCAGAGGCGTGAAGCAGAAAGGGAAGGTGAATGTCAGCACAGCACCGGCTGCTATGGGGTGTTCTGGGCCAGCACAGCTATACCGCGACCCGCAGCACAAGCAAGGCTTTGTCCAGCTCTGTCATACCCCGTGTCTCCTGCCAGCTGCTGCCAGAACAGCAGGCAAGGAACTCCTCCAAGAAATGCAGAGCTAAAGGCATTTTCCTCTGTTGCTCTCAAAAACAGATACTGTGTGCTGTTCTGTATGACTGAAACTCTGCTATAAAAGCGCTCTTTTAAGCAAATAGTGATTTGGACTTACTTAATGGTGATTGGAATTAGACAGTAAGCATCAGAAGAATCTGTAAAAGAAGCTGCTGTAAAGAATGAGTTGCTGTGTACCTCTTTCCTTGTATGCACTGTGAGTAGGGTTTGCCTTTCCTCAGTGAGCAGTGGGGTGGATTCCCCTGCTAATATAGGCATAGGACTGTAGGTCTCTGAACAGCTGGGGCGGCTGCAGCAGCAGGGCTGAGTGTGACCGGATGCTCTGGTTTCCAGCCGGGAGCACAAGGCTGCATGAGTGCTGCCAGAGCTTGCCTGGGATGAAGGGGTGGGATGGTTGTTCTTACAAAAGCCACTCTTAGTGTCTCAGTGGATAGAAAAGTGGCTCTAAGTGAGAGTACTCATGAAATTTTATTTGTTCTGGCCTTAGTTTTCATCTTGCACACTACAGCAACTCAAGTGAATCCATTGCCTTTTATGCAGTCATTACTGCCTCATGCTGGTGGCAAGAAGAAAGGCTTGAGCTGAAACTCAGTTTTGGGGTTTTCTTAAACATTCAAGCATGAGGAGAGCTACAAGTTCATGTCTCTGTGAGTCATGCACAGAAATTACTGATAGCAGCTTCTTATTCTGATTGTATCCCTTCATTACTTGTCCTGCACTGTCAAATGAATGTAGATATTTTTTCTCTCATTCTTTTCCTCTTCAACATCAGTGCCTGTTGTTAAAATTATTTTTGTTCCTTGAAAAGAGATTTTCCAAAAGATTTCCCACCATGGTGTCAGTTGGGAACTGTATAACTTTAAGCCCTGTCACAGGGTGGCTGTGCCAGGAAAGAGGGAAAACTGCTGGCACGAACAAGGCAGCTTTTGGAATAAATAAATCCTTGTTGCTTTCCTGCTCCTCCCTGCAGCAGAAAAGGGGAGCTGAAAGAAATGAGAGAAGAGGGGTGAGACGCTTCTCCAGAGTTCTTTTGGGTAAGAAAGGGAAATGCAAAGTAAAGTAGCAGTATCCTTTACCAGGGATGTGCATGTTTCCTTTAGACTTGAGAGGGCAATGCTGATGTGTTAATCTTTGTCGCTAACTGCTTTGTGGGCAGAAGTGCACTTGTCATTTTCCAGTGCTTTCCTTTTGAGGACTGATTTCATTGCACCTGTGCCCCAGGAGTGCAATTGTGTCTGCCTGGATGAGAGGGATGTAACACAAATGGACAAGAGCTGAATGCAGTGGGTGAAATAGCTCATTTGTTTATCTGTAGTTTCTGGCTCTTTCATCTCCATAGAGCAGAACAAATCAGGCTTCTGACTATGAACTGCCAAATTTGGGTGCACAGGTCAACAAAGCACAACACTCTGGGTGCTTGTTAATATCTCTAACTGGTGAACGACAGTCATCTGAATGAATTGCATTTGTCAAGTTAAGACAAATCAAAGTGTTTTCCTCTAGTTCGATATTTTATTTTCATTACTGTGAACTGCACTTACAGAACATTTGTTTATTCCCTTTAATTTTTTTTCCTAAAGGGCCTGGAGTTGTACTTGCACACAAGATTGATATACCAATAACAGAAGTTTCTCCTCCAAGTCCTAGTCCCTTGAAAAAAAGTGGATCAATCAATTGGCCTTTCCCCGATCGAATCAAATCTCCCAGAACTGTGAGGAAGCTTTCCATGAAAATGAAAAAACTGCCAGAACTCAGCAGGAAGCTGAGTGTCAAGGGAACTTCAAGCCATAATAGCTCAGATAATCCTTCTTCCCTGCAGAAAGGGAGCTCTCGGGATACAAGCCATACAGCATCTTTGCCATCTTCTGGAAACTCAGCTGCAGCTGCCAGCAGGAACGTCATAAGTCGCTACCACCTCGACAGCAGTGTGTCATCACAGCACACCTACAAAAAGAAAAGCTCAAGGAATTCCAAGTCCTCCAGCAAAGGTGGTTACCTCAGTGATGGTGACTCTCCTGAACTTTTAACCAAATCAGGCAAACATGGACATGAAACCAAGTGTGGGAAGGGAAAAGAGAGCTTTCCAAGTAACAGTGGTAAAACTGAGATAGATATCGATGCTTTCAGGCACTACAACTTTTCTGATCAACCCAAGTGTTCCCAGTACATCTCTGGACTTATGAGCATTCACTTTTATGGTGCTGAGGACTTGAAACCACCAAAAATAGACTCAAAAGATGTCTTTTGTGCAATACAGGTTGACTCAGTAAACAAAGCAAGAACAGCCCTGCTTACATGTAGGACAACATTTCTAGATATGGACCACACATTCAACATAGAAATTGAAAATGCTCAGCACTTAAAGCTGGTGGTGTTCAGCTGGGAGCCCACCCCACGGAAAAACCGTGTTTGTTGTCATGGCACTGTGGCTCTTCCTACTCTCTTTCGAGTGACAAAAACACATCAGCTGGCTGTCAGACTGGAACCAAGGGGGCTTATTTATGTCAAACTGTCACTTATGGAACAGTGGGAGAACTCTCTTGATGGTTTGGATGCAGATCGGGAACCAGTGATGTTTGGTGTCGATGCTCGAAAAGTGGTAGAGAAGGAAAGTACAGGCCTGATGGTGCCGCTTTTAATTCAGAAATGCGTAATGGAAATTGAAAAAAGGGGCTGCCAGGTACTGTATATATCTTAATGTTTTGTTAATGTTGCTGTGTCTGGATCTTTGTTGCAGATTTTCGCACTGTTACTTCTGGAGCAGGAGTGGTTTTTAAGTTATTTTCTTGCTCCCTCTGTGTGGTGAACGCCAGTCATTGTACTGGGGGGAGAACAGCAGGACTGCGAAGTCACTGCTTCCAACTTTGCTCTTGTAAAGGAGAAGAACATTTGCTCATAGCAGCTTTAGGACTGCAGCACCCAGCATGTAGAGTCACCCTCAAAATAAGGCAGAACTGAGATTAGGATTTGGAAATGTCTGAGGCACAGATCATTACTTAAGGACATAGTGTACTGACACACAAGGAGCATGGTACTCCCTCCACATTTGATGCAAAGCACAAAGATGAGGAAGGGCTGTTGAGAAGACAGGTTATTTGTTTCCTCACACTGCTTCTCCTAGCCTTTCGTCAAGTTGTCTGTAGGATTAGGAAAGGCAGTAAGGCCCACTGTGTTTTCTTCATCTTACTGCGACTTATGTCAGTTGGTGTAACCCAATGGAGAAGAAATGTTGTAGAAACAAATCCCCCGTTACAGACTAGAAATTTCTAGACTAGAAATCCCCCCGTGCTAGACTAGAAATTTCTTAGGAAGGAAGATATGCAGTCCTAAGGACAGACGTTGCCCCTTGGTAATTCATTTGAAATTGTGAGAGGATTTCTACATACTGCTCTATAGACTGTGAGCCCTTGGTTTCTGTTACTCCTGTTGCTGCCCAGGTGAAATGGAGAGGTAATCACAACTACCACTGTTACTACTTTTAGTTGCTAACAGTTTGGCTATAGTTTCCTGGTGTTAAGAAATTAATGGCTACTTATAACCTAGATTGAAATATACAGACAGGAATAGTATTTGTATGTAATTATTTTGCTGAAAGTCAGTGCTGATAACTGTGTGATTGTCATTGTGCTTCTCCTAACATGCAAATCGGTGGAAAAAAGAAGTTGTATTCTTTCCAGTATTTGTGTCTCATGGTTGCAGTGTTTTATTTTGGGCTTATTAGCACCTAGTCATGCAAATGATTTTGGGTAATCAAGGCATCACTGGTAATGAGGCGATTGGGATCTGAGCTGTCTGTGTGCACCTGGTGCTTCTGAGCATAAAATCTAATTTGTGCATTTGCTCAGGGAGAAATAAAAATGCAAAATATACTGTTAACTTTTAACCATGCACTTTTCTGACCTTTTGATTTTCTCTTAGAATGCAGACTACTGTCATGATATGTTGTTTCCACCTGACTTTCAGACATAGTGTTACAAAACTGGGTTGAAATTTTCTTAGGCCAAATATTGGGTCTTATTTGGTCTTGGGAAGGAGAGTGTACAAATTCCATTGAGTGACTTTCCATGCATTTAAGCAGGAATTAATGTATGGCCAGACAAATACTCTTCTTTGCAAACCTGGATATGCACGTTCTAAGCCAACACAGACTGCATCAAGTTTTGAGCTGGTTGGTTGTTCAAGTCCACAGCATTTTGGGGCTATCCATGTGTTCAGTACATCTGCCTGTAAAATCCATTAAAATTAAATTAAAATAATATATGTAAGATTTAGCTCCTCTCAGTCACAGTGGTGATGAAAATGAAAAATACAGCAACAAAAAAATGCAAAATTGGAGTATGTGAAAGCACATAATTGGCTTAGTAATACAGTCCAGATGTGTTGTGGAGTCACTCCTAGCATCTTGAACATATGAAATAACCCTTGCTTCACATTAAATGTTACATGTCATTTGAAATGTGGAAGTCAGCGTCTTGTCATCTTTAAAATAGCAACTTCTGAATGTCGTTAGAATGGAGTATTCGTAATTCTCTTGAAATCCTTTCTACCAACATCAAGCAGAGTTTTAGTTACATCTAGCTTTTTCTTGTAGGACAATGTTAAGGGTCTTTTTCCTTGAGAGATTTATGATGTCTCTTGTTTATTAGGTAGTTGGTTGTGCTGCTACCTTTTTCTACTAACAATTAATAACAATTTTGGAACATGTTCTAATGTACTTCAAAATGATTTTTCTCTTCTTTTCTGCTTAAGGCCCAGTTTTATCTTACATAATTATACAGTTATTACTAGAGAAAATGATGGTGACCTGCGTAGGATAAGAGGAGAATTATGTTTATTTCTTTGTTTCCCAAGTTTTACGTAAAAGTAAAGTCCTGAGTGGATTCTGAATTACCTGATGGTGTGCTTCTGGCTTACAGCTTGGGATGGCTCAGTGAACACTGCTCAGGATGTCTCCTGCTGTAGAAAGCTTTGGCATTAGTCACCTGCCAGTTGTCTCTTGAGTAACTTTTGATGGTGTATGTGATCAATTAATATTAGCAGTTGGCAATGTTTGAGTTTTCTTAACAGTTGTTTGAACATCTTGCTGTACATGCTCCCAGGTGAGTCCTAACATGATATGTGTTCTGCTTTGCGGGAATAAGTCATGTGGAGCTGTGGTTCTTGCCCACAGGTTGTGGGCCTGTATCGGCTGTGTGGCTCCGCAGCGGTGAAGAAGGAGCTTCGAGAGGCGTTTGAGAGGGACAGCAAGGCAGTGACTCTCTCTGAAAGCCGGTACCCAGATATTAATGTGATAACAGGTAATGATTTGACTTCTCTTTCAGTATATAGTTTTGGCATGTTGGTAATACACCTTTTAGAAGGTGAGGCTCTGAACTAGTTTTCTGTTGTTGTTTAACAAGTCATTAATTACTTTCTGTACTGCGAAAGCAAACTCAGTAACGTCGGAGGTGTGTATTCAAGTAGCTGTGACTGGGAGGGAGGAGGACGGAGTTCCATTGACTCATGAAACTTGGTGTAGGAAGGGAACCTGCACAAGGTGCTTCCACAGTGGCGTCCTGGTGAAGGAGGGGGGCTGGGGGCAGAGGAGCAGGAGGTCTGACAAAACTTCTCTTCACCTGCCCCAGCTTTTTAAGGGAGCGTTGGTGCCCAGTACAGCTGAAATTGTCAGGTGTTTTTGTTGTTGCTTAAAGGCCAAACAGTTTTGTAGCTATTGATGGTATTTGTTATGTAAACCAAAGTTGAGCTGATCTCAGGGATCGCAGAGTAAACTAATCACTGGAGGCAATTAGACAAGAACATTTCATTACTTCCAATCCAGTGATGGAAAATGTTAACATCAGCAGCCAGGGTGTAAATTTTCTGTGCCAGAGCACTTTGTGACATTCAGAGGCACTGAGCAGTTCTATCCCATTTGATTGTTTCACTTCAGTGTATTGGGAATTAATTTTGTGTTCAGTACATTTTGTAATTATTCTAAGTAGTGTCAGAAGATACTGCCCAGTGGCATTTTCTTTGTTAACCAAACCTTTTGTACAGACCCAGCAGGTCAGGTCACCTGAACTCCCTTGGCCTCACGGTTGGGCTCATCATTGCTCATCAGCACCAGCATTCTCAGCAGCAGAACCTTGGACTAGTGTTGCACTCTGCTGTGTGTGATGCATCCTCTACTGGGAGAAGGCGAACAGAAGAAGTAAATAATAGAAATGATCTTTTAACTTAATGTTTTTCTTCTCCTTGCAAATAGATACATGAAAGAAGCAGTGATGATTTCTAACATGATATTTATTATTCTTGAAAACTTTTCTCAATTTTAGTAAATCAATTGTGCTGTAAAACAGCAGAAACTGTCTGATGTTGACTTGTAAGCAGACAAATGTCGAACAGATTCTCGGTTAATATAAATTTTTGGCTAATGAAATATTTGACCTATTTGATGTTTAATTTTGCAATAATAAAGAAGGCATCACACTCCCATGCTACCAGAAATGATATAAAGCAGAACTATTTGCAGAAATGCTTCAGGAATATCGTGGGGAAGGGTGTTGAAGCTTCCTTGTATGTATGTGTGCAAAAGAACCTGCAGTGCATCACAAGCATTGTGTCCATGGGAGCACTATGTACTAAGAACCCACTGTTACTGGTAGAAGCTGAGCTTGGAGCTGCAGGAGTGCGCAGTGGAGACAGCAGGCCCTGTCAGGGCAGCAGTGTCTGTGCTTTCTGTCATGGGTTTATGATGCGGTGCTGAATCTGAAAAGTGTACTTTAATGCCACGCTGCCATCTCTTTAAGCCACATTGATGAGGGTGAGCCGTTCTTTGCTTAGCTGTGTACAGCATGGTTTGGGCATAAAGGTGAGGCTGCAGTTTGTGCTGGCAGAGCTGGGCTACCTGCTATGCTCACCATGGGAGTAAAGAGCCCGCAGAGCACAGTCTCACTGTACAGAGAGCCTGGGCAATGGCTGTTTGCCCCGGTTCTTCATGCTGTGTTTGCGGTGCTGAGGCTGCATCTCGTGACTCGTACTTTCCTAAGCCAAAGCATTTGTTCCATAGAATGTGAATCCTCAGCATAAATCTTGGCACATTTGGAGAGAAGTGCTTTCTTGTGTCCTTTTTGAAATTTGAGTAGCACTGTTTTTCCAGATGATTATACAGATTTATTTTTTTTTTGACAGCTCTCCAAAGACCAAAGAATGAGCATTTAATGATTAAATCTTTACTGAGAACTGCCCCTGGGGTTGGCACAGGCTTACAGAGGCGCCCGTGGCTCAAAACCAAGCACACTGCCAGTTTTAGGAACTGACCAGTAGAAGTTGTTGCATCATGTCTGTTCTCATCCATGTGAATTCATATCTCTAAATAAAGCGTGTAACATTGTTAACAGCTCAGTGGGCCAGAAAAATGAGGGATCACTGAAGTGGATGGTAATCTCAGCTTGCTGTTTCCATTTGCTTTGTAGGGTGAGGGGTTGTGGCAAGGAGAACATGCCAATGGGTTAGCAGCAGGGAGTATGGCTTCCTGTAAGAAAACAGGGCTAATTTGGCAGAGTGAATAGCAAAAACGAGTAGAAAGGCCAAAGGGCATTAGTGGATTCCAATCTGCCCTGTTAACCAGGGACACTGAGGAACATGATTTAATGATTTGATGCTCATGGGTGGACTAGGTGATCTGGTGGTCTCTTCCAGCCTTAATGATTCTACTGATTCTATGGTTCTAAGGTCCTTCAGGTGGTAGTCTTGTGGTTGTGATTGCTGTCAGAGGAATTCTCAGTCATCAGCTGTGACTGTTGCAGTAGCACTAGCTGATCTGACTCGGACATATATTTAGTCCTTTCCTGCTGTAAGCTGATTCTGAATTTGGCCTTCCCCACCCAAAACATGGCAGTGTCAGCTGGTGCTTTACATAGATAAGAGGGAAAGGCATCCCAGCCTGTGCTGTGCTGCGCCTCCTGCTGCCACATTGCTCTCATTTTCGCCTGTGGATGCACGTGGGACACTTCTGAATTGAGAAGATGAAATATCATTGGTGGGAAGAGAGGAATGTGAATAAGTTACTAAACAGAAGCGTAGTATGCCACTTCAGTGACTGCTCTGCATAAAAACAGAAAACCTCAAAGCAAACAAAGAAGCCCAGAGGAATTTGTGTTCAGGAAAACATAGAGCTGGCTGGTTTTGTTTCTCATACCCCTGCCAGTATGTTCCTGTGGTGTGCCAGGGGGCTGTGTGCCTGCTGCTGGCCTGCCCAGCCAGAGGGGCTGTGCAGGGCACTACTGCTGGGTTTGCACTGCTCGTGGGGCAGGGCCTGGCTAGCTGCCTCTGCACTGGGTGCACTCCTCATTTCTCAGTGGTACCAGTTAACAGCGAGAAGCCACTGCAAACGTGGCTGCAAAGGGGAACATTAGCTTCCATTCCTTGTATTTTTTATAAACTGCCTCATAAAAAGCCTTCTGCAGTGTGATTCAGTTTGCAGTTAAGTTATGAAGACAGAATTGATATGAACTGTTGCTTTATCAAATAGCAGAACATGATAGTATTTACACTGATGTGGGGTTTTCCAGAGCTGTGTGGAGCATGTGCCAAAAAATCTTCTGTCTTTACAAGTGTGCCTTATCTGAGGACAGACTGCTCTGTTAATTACAGTGTCCTCTTTCAAAAGATTTTTAATGCATCATTTCTTAACAAACTTCTTAAGCTGTAATCTAGCTGAATGGGCAGATATTTATGGTCTGAATGCTTTTTCTTTATTCTTTTAGAGGACAATAAGAGCTGATTGTTTCCCTCAGAGCTTTTAGTGCTGGCTGTGCTGGATGTGCTGCCCCATGGCATTATGTCTGTGTGCTTTCCAGGGCCAAGCAGAAGTCTTCTGCTGGGTTTTCTTCTTACAGTTGCTGAAATTGGCTCATATTGAAGTGTAGCCAGCTTTTAGCATCAGCTTACATGAATGCAGACAGTTGGTTCTTTCTCATTTGTTTGCATTTGTGGAAGGCGTAAAAGCTGGATGCAGTGCTGCCAGGTTGTTGCGTCCCGCAAACAAGGAGAAAGCACCTCTCCTCCAGCTCTGGAGATGCAGCTGTACGTGGTGCAGCTGGTAGTGCAGCTGGGAGAGCCCAGTGCTGGGATGGCAGCAAGGACGTGAGTGCTGCAGAGCTGCAGGAGCAGAGCCGCCCACTGGCTGTAGCCAGAGCCTGTCCTGTGCAGAGAGCTGCTGCTCAGCTTGCTGGTGTTGTTCTACCTTTACTGCCTCCTCCTGTCCCTAGCTTCTGAATTTGTCACTGGCACAAGGAATTTTCCCGGGAGATATGTGATTTCTGTGTGCCTTAGTGCTTCCAACCCAACCCATTCCAAACAGTGAATGCACAGCTTCATGACAGCAGCTGTTCTTGTACCTCTTCTGAAGGTGTCCTAAAGGATTACCTGCGAGAGCTGCCCTCTCCACTGATAACCAAACAGCTCTATGAAGCAGTAGTGGATGCCATGGTGAAAAATCCCTTGAAGATGGCAGCCGCTGGTTGTGAAAATGACCCGAGTGACTCTGAGCACACAGCAGCCCTTCTGGATTGCCTCCCAGATGTTGAGAAGGTGAGTGGTATTAATGGGGTCAAGTAATGGTAAATTGCCAGCTTCAGAAAATAAAGGAGTTTTTTCACACTGGATTTAAAACATGTCAAAACATGTACAACTGTTTTCTGAAAACATGGATTTGTCATGCTCCAAGTCTTTGAAAATACTTCAAGAATGAAGGTATCTGGCCATAACTTTCATTTAGGTGTGCCTTTAGAGATCATCTCTGTAAAGGTAAGCAGTAAAAATGGCACTATTTTATTTTTAGATTTCAGGTAAGCTGTTGTCATTTACAGCAGGACTGGATGGCCAAACAGCTAGCAATGGGTTATTTTTGTTGAAAGCTAAGTAAACTTCTGGAGGCTTGTTCTGACACTGAAGTCTTTCTAAGGGTTTCTTCATCTTCTAATATATCTTCTGCAGTAGTGCTTCTGCAGTCTCTCCCTTCTTTGATATCTCCTCTCCGCTGCTAGAAAACTCATTCATGTAGAACTGAGATCAGGTGAGAAGCAAGATGAATTCTACCAGAAATTCAGTCCTACTTTGTTTCCTCTGCGGCAGTCTAACACAGCTCTTTTATTCAGCACTTAGCTGTTCCACTGCTGGGTGTTGATAGAAAGGCTTGAGCTATCAGCCTTGGTATTATCCCTCTAGAGCAGTGATGTTAAGGTGACAGTGCTGCAGTATTGTGTTTCCCGATGAGTGTTTTGTTCTGCAGGCTACCCTGAAGATGCTGTTGGATCACCTGAAACTGGTGGCTTCTTACCACGAAGTAAATAAGATGACCTGCCAGAACTTAGCTGTGTGCTTTGGGCCCGTGTTACTGAGCCAGAGGCAGGAGACCATCAACCACAACAATAGAGTCTTCACAGACTCCGAGGAGCTCGCTAGTGCCCTGGACTTCAAAAAACACATAGAAGTTCTTCACTATTTACTTCAGCTGTGGCCAGGTACTGTTTCACTGATCTAATCAGTGGGAACTGTCAAACTGTTGCTGTATGTTTTTAATATGACAGTGTAGATTAATTCACAGGATAACTGAGCAGAATCAGAATCTTTAAAATATGAGGTACTGTGGCAACACCTATTAATGTAAAGAAATCATGCAGTCATGTAGTTACTCTTTGTATTAAACCACTGCTTAATGTAACGTTTATTGTTCTAATTACTTCTTTGCCAAATGGCAGCAATTCAGTGAAAAGTGCTTTATGTAAGTAAAGATATCAGAGAAAGCAGACCCAGTGGTAGTAATATTCCCATATCTGAACCTTAGTTAGTTTCTAGTTCTTATTGTTTTCCTGCTTTCTTGCTTCAACCATTCAGGATTCTGATTATATGGGATTCATGAGTTGTATGGTCCCTGAGAGACTCAATGGTTTACTTTATTTCTACATTTATAGTTAGGCAGAGCTGTTCCTTGTAGTAGGGGCCATGCAACTTCTTATTGTTTCTCCAGAGCTTTGCGTATGGAAAAATGTTGTGTGCAAGTACCTTTTATCTCATGTTTCTAAACTTAAGAGCTCAAATGCTTTTCCACGAGCTGGGGTCAGTTCCCAGTAATGGAAGTGAAATTCTAATTTGATTTAACTACTGAAGTACAAGTGGAGTTAATTATTTCTGCAAAGATTTTCCTTTCAAGGACCATTTGAATGATTATACAGCGTTCACATGTCACCAGCTGTTCAGAGAGACAGTTAGTGGAGATACAGTGACATCAGTGAGCTGCAGCGAACTCCTGTGCATTTCATCTTCTGCTGTTGCTTTAAGGCAAGATCAGGCTGAGATATTTGGTGGTTTTTGTTAAGTTTGATAAGAACACTGTGAAACAACATTAGATCCAATGGGCTTAATTTTGTATTCAGGTATTCTTTGACCAAATTGTTGTCAGTTTCCTCTCTATATGGAAGATGTGTCCATTGCTCCATGCTGTAGTTCCTTCACTCTTCACAGTGCTTTCACTGATGGTGCGGAAAATTGTCAGTTGGTTAACCTGGGTGTTTTAATAACTGTTTTTCAAACCTGAACACTGTAAACCCTTATGTTCTTTAGGGAAGATGTAGCTCATCTTAACAGCTTCTGAATTGTTCCCTTTTAGAACACAGTAAGTGCTCTTGGAAAACTACTGATTTTCTGCATTGAAACAATTGCAGTTAATCTAGAGGAATAGTATGTCGGATTGTATTTCTTGTTAAATTTATGTGATTTTACTTGAGGCTGTCTGCTTTTCGTGGAGAACTGGGAGCACTTAGGAAATACAGAGGGTCGCAAAGGGGCTGGTAGGCAGTACAGTGTTGGTTAAAAGTTAACAAAGATCCGTTTCTGGCAAATTAACAAAAAAATAATATAATATAAAAAATTCCAAACAGCAGCTGTCTGGATTTGCTGTGTATTTAGGAGCATGAGGTATAAATGCGTGTGCTCTAGCACAAAGTGTGGGATAGACATGCAAACATGTAGACTTTCATCTTAGTAGTTCATAAACCATATAAGAAACATAATGCCTCATTAAAGAGATTTTTATGATTGCAAAAGAAGCATCGAAATCCACACAGTATTGTTGTTGAGATGAGTAAGATAAGTAGAGCTCCTCCTCACCTTGAATGGAAGGCTGAAGTCCTCAACTTGCAAGAAGCATGCAAGGGCACAGCTAACTTAGAGGTAAAATATAAGTGCAGAGCTGTGAGCGAGAGAACTCTGGTGAGCTGTAAGCAGTGCATCTGGACTTGGAGGAGAGATTGCAGTCTTCCATTTTATCTTCTGTAGATTGGGGCAGCTTGATAATCAACATGTTGTGTAATGCTTCAATTTCCTTGTTTTTCCAACAGAAAACAACTAAGTCCTTGTTTGGCTAGAGCATGCAATGCTGGCAAGTTATTGTTAACCCATGGCCCTTCATCTTAATGGAGCAGAGTCTGAACAGAAGGGCTTTTGTTACAGCGAGAGAGGGGGGAAAATGCAGTGATAGTTATTGTGCACTACTGTGAGATGTAAAGCGAGGCTGGAGCACCCTGGGGGGGCTGCAGTGTGGGCAGGGGGAGCACTGGCAGCTCTGTAGGGAAGCAAGGGAACGTCAGCGAGATGCTGAACACTGCATTTGTGCATAGGAAGTCTGTGGCTAATTACGGGTGGGCATGGTCTGTTTAAAACATAAAGAGATTCTGCAGCTCAGACGTTTAATAGGTGCAGGCCAGTAAAATTGTGTGCTGTTTACCGTAGGAAGCCAGTAGCAGTGGAGGTGGCTGTTAGTAACTTGTGCTGTGTAACCATGAGCTCAGGTAACTGCTGTAAGCCCATCGGAGTACGCTTCTGGTTGTGGCTGCTTAGAGAAATTAATGCCAATGAGCTTCTGTTAATAGTGCGGAACATCAGGGCAAAAGAGAAACATGAGAATTCAGCTCTGGTGCATCTTCAGCTTCTCCAAGTGTTTCTCTGCAGTGGTATTTTTGTTGTTTTAACCTCTGTTGCTGTGGCTGCTTTCTGCTATTCCCTTCAGCCAAGTGGTTTTGTTTGTCTGTACCAGAGCTGTATGGTGGTTACCTCATGCCCTGAATGTAACCTGTGCTCTGGGAGCATCTCTGCTGAGGGAGGATTTCTCTGCTGCAGTTTGGATCTGGCATAACTCTTCAATGCCGAGGTTTTACAGCGGTTTTCCTAATGGTATTTGATCAAGCAGCAGTAGCACGGTGTGTTGGCTGAGAGTCTGCACGCATCATGCATGCCATTTGCCCATGGGCGCTGTCACGGACCCTTTGTGTTGCCATGTGGATTCAGCCACATGGGGTGTAAAATTTTCGTTTTTTCCAGTGCATCACTCACCTGCCCAGGAACCTGCACATCCCAGCACGCCTCCCGAGCACTTGTTGTCCCTGCGTTACCTGAGACCGCGGCGGCAGAGACCGCAGATGCTGAACCTGAGCAGCGCTGACGCATGCGGGATGCTGCGGCCAAGGCCAGCTGGCCTGGACAGCCCTTCCAGCAACCGCTACGCAGGTGACTGGAGCGGCTGTGGGGAAAGCTACTTCTGCAGCCCCAGGGACTGCCTGGGCGAGGCAGACTATGACGATGTCCCTTCGGAGGACTCAGAGAGTGGGGACGACAGCAGCAGAGTCGATGATGCCGACGGCCTGATGAAGCGCCCGCAGCCCCTCCCCGGGGAACACGCGTTCCAGAGCTATCTGACAATGCAGGCGATAGACTCAGCGGGGAGCCACAGGGCGAACCTCAAGGACCTACAGGAAAGTATCGATACCCTGATAGGAAACCTGGAAAGGGAACTCAACAAAAACAAGCTGAACATGAGCTGCTGAGCCCGGTCGGTCCTGCGTGGTGCCTCCTGCTGCGTGCTGCAGCAAGGCTGTGGCCTGCCGTGTGAACGAACCCACTGACAGGCATTCCCTCCTGTTTGTGCATTCCTTGTAGAAGAGCATGTTAACCTGATTCTGGTGTTTAAGGCAAAAGCTGAGAGACCACAAAGTGACTCCACGTAGTAACATTTCTCCCTAAAAATGCTGTGCCCTTTGGTGGGTGGCATCTGACAGCAGGGCAGACACCATACGCTGCTTGTAACAGCAGGGCTCTTCCTCCTGAAACTCAGCTCTGGTACAGAAGTTCCTCTCAGAAGGGGACTAATGCTGCTTGGCCTGAGCTTTGTAGCATCAACTTCAGACAAACTCATTTTACTATATATGCAATGGCTGCTATGAAAAGTGCTTTTTATATATATATATATATAATAATAATATAAATATTTATATATAAAGTTTTAATTGTACAAATATTAATGTATTCATGTATTAACACTTTTCAATAATTATTTAAGCAAGCAAAAATTAAATATTTTTCTAACCTTGTTGTATATATCTGTGTACAAACATGCATGTCTCTGTCCACCTTGAGAGGTCCCGGAGTTCTGAAACATCCCATTTGAAGAGAGTGATGCCAAGAGGAAGCTGCTTTGTGTGTAGCACAGCACTGGATTTGTGCAGAGAAACACATCCAGCAAGAAGGCAGGGTAGATGGTTAACTTAACAGCTTCTGAGTTGCCAGGCATTGGTTCACATGTGCTCCCCTCAAATCCACCCCAACCTTTTACAGTAGTTGTGAGGGCTTTCCAGGATTTCTAGCAGTGAACTGTGCTGCTGCCCTTCAGGGTGATCAGTGTGTGCAATAAGGAGATGAACGCACTGTTCTGTAGTTTTATTCTTCAGATTTTTCTGTTTTTTTTTTCATGTAAAGGAGGGTCCTGAAGTGCTCACTTCATATTTTCACACAATCACAGAATCCTTAGAGTTGGAAGGGACCTTTAAAGGTCATCTAGTCCAGCTCCCCTGCAATGAACAGGGACATCCACGGCTGTTTTGAAGACTTCCGGTTTGTCCTGGTAAGCTCAGACTTGGTCCTGGCTGTTTTGATGCTTCCTTTTGCTGCAGAGCTCCATGTGCATTAGTTGAGCTGCATGTTCTGGCTGCCGGTAGGAGTGCCTGAGCCCCTCTGGCTCTGGAGATGCAATCTCAAGTTCTACACAAAGGCAGTCAGGTTTTCTGACTCTTTCGGGTAAAGTGATCTCCCCCAGTGGAGCCGGGTGGGTGGGGTGTTATGGGAAGCAGGGTGGGATTGTGGTTCAGCTCTGAGACGCCCAGCACCAGGGCTGTGTCAGCCAAAAGGACAGAGCTTAACTCTCCTTGTTCATCTGGATGGTACTGGCTCCCTGCCATGGGTACTGTGGGTAAGTGCTTTGCTCTAACCGCTGCTTCCTTGTACTGCTTGTGAGGTTATTTATTTACAGGAGCAAGGAATTAAATACTAGGACAGACTTCATCCCTCTTTTTTTAAGAATTATTTTAGCATGGTCTCAAATGGTTTAATCAGTCCCGTTAATTTATTTTTTTCTAAGTGTTAAAGGATTCATAACAGTTATTGCAATATAATGATAATGTATGAAAATGTAAATTTAACCGGAAACATTTATCAATAAATCAATGTATTTTTTTAAACTTTTATACCTACAGAATGGGCAATACATTTTGAACAATAAATTTTAATTCTAAATAAAATTTGATGAAGAACAGAATTTGACTGAGCCCAGTTAGTGTTCTTTAAAGCCGTGTAAGGTTGTGCCGTGTATTTGCACTGGCTGCATGCAGGAGTTCCTTCCATACAGGTACTTAACTTCTGGGAAGATGTATTGAACACTGGGTGTGAAAATCTGCTAGCATTATTAAAAGGTGGGGGTGTTAAAGTTGCTCAGTAAGCATTACCTTAAGCCTTCATCTTTTATAGTAATCTTGGTGATGACAATGAGCGCAGTTGAATAAGCAGATGTTTTTTTACAGAAAGCTGTAAGTTGGTGCAGCAATGTGCTGCTCTGTCAAGTTTTAATGTTTTAATCTTACAAAAGGAAATGAATGACCTGATAGATGTTATTAATGTAACTGTATTTAATTATAGTATAATAAAGCAAAACCACTTCAGTATGGGTAGTATTCAAATGAAACATTTGCTGTTATTCAGGTTATGGCCACTTATAGGACATACTTTACATCCTGGTTTTGACCAGAGAGCTGCTCCTGCTGGCCAAGGTAGCAACCAAGAGTTTTCATTTGTAAGATAATTCTACATTATTGAAACGAAGGTTTCACCAGGGAAAGAAGAAATGTGTCCATAGGTCTGTGCTGCCAGGTATTCAGGGTCTAACACACCCGGGTTCAGGAATGGCCTAGCCAGCTCACAGACTTTGTTTAAGCAGGACTGTCTGAATGTTGCTTCTAGCTGGCATTGTGACGGGCTGCAACAGGAGAATGGGCTGGGCTGCTTCTCCTCCTGTCTGCAGCATCCCAGGCTGGCTGGAGCCCAAAGGAGTGAGCAGGGAATGGGTATGAGTTGGGTGGGATGAAGAGCGGAATCCCCTGCATGGATCTGGGGTTCTTAAGCTTCCAGGGGCCCACATCCCCAGACAGAAACTTCAGGTCTTCAGAATTTTTTTGCCCACATGTATAATGTGTATGGATTTTTATTAATGCACAAGCAAGGAGCATAGCTGCAGCTGTTCAGATGTTCTAAATATATCCCAACAGCAGATATTCAGGGGGTTTACAGTATAAATCTATAAATCTGATAAGTCAGAGGTACAGCTGGTGTTTCTGCTGTCAGATCTTAACCCTTTCAACTTCCTCCCCATCCCGAGGTTTGGGGTGTTTTAACAGTGGAACTATCTTTTCAAATAAGAAGCCTTCTTCAAAAACTGGAGCTAGAAACACTTGAAAGATGGTTATTGAAGATCAGGGGAGGAGTTTTGATATTTCTTTTGATAGTAACTACATACCATGGCATTGGTTTTAAAATGCCATCTGAGGCAACGAATTAACTGCTTTCATTTTGTTTGACTCTTTCAGAGCCATGTGGGATGTTCTGTGCTTTGCCATAACATCAGCCAGGTCAGATCAGCCTTGAAGCAGCCTGCTGTAAGGTCGTGCAAAGCAGTCCCTCTGGGTATTGGAACATCCAGGATTACCCTAGAGAGGGTAGAAGATCACAACAGAATGTGTAAACTCATATATCTGGCACTGGAGATTAGGAGGGAAGTGCCTCTGCTCTGTTTTCTTCATGGCATTGATCTGCTGCCTCCTTTTTTGCTGCCTCCTTTCCCGTACCATCAGGAAAACCCAGCTGAAATCCCACTGTCTTCCAACTTGCAAACCAGAGTCCTACTTTGTAGCATGCATTGAACTTGTCCGAGTTTTGCACTGAAATCCAGCTCCCCGAGGCAGTGCGTGGGGTTGTCCATGTGGTTCATGCTGTGGTGGAGGGGGCAGCCTGGCTACAGCCCAGTGCCTGGACATTGATACAGTGAGAATAAGGCTGAGCATGTGCTGATAATGGGGTGATGGGGCAGGACAGCCAATGTGCAGGGAAGGCAGCGCTGACTGTCCTTGCCTGGATCAGTGGGGACGTGCTGAGACCTCCACTCCTCTACATGGTAGGGAGGGGAGGCAGCGGGAGCGTTCCAGGTAAGCCATGGCCGTACGGTTGGCTTGTTATGTAGTTGGCAGTTAATAAAAATCTGCTAACAATAATCTGCAGTCGTGTTCAGTGCAATCCCAGCCTGATAACCAAGAGCGGAGCTCTGTGGTGAGTCAGTGGTGGGATGTTTGCATGTCCCTGTGAGTCAGATTGTTAGTTAAATATTGGTTTAGCGGGGGAACTGTGTTCCCTTCCTGTTGGAGCTCTGACTGCAAACAGTGGTGCAGGTGGTAGGGATGGGCTTACTGAGTTTTCTTTGGTTTTAATTTACAGGTAGTTTCATATGAGGAGCATGATATATTTTTATAAGTTTTAGACTAAAGACTAATGAACAAAAGGCCATTTTTGAAACCAAGTCCAATGCAGCCGCACCAAACCTGTCTTAAATCCAACTGAACTTGAAAGTGGTAAAACTACATGACAAGGAGATCTTGGCAGCTGCAGGGGTGTTTTAAGACTACCTCAAACCAGTGTGCAGTGCCTGTTATGGGATGCAGGAAGCTGACTCCTCGCCTGTTCTGTAGCCATTAGACCATGTTTTGCTCCAATGAAACAGAGCACCAGAGCTGGCCGTCGCCTGTCAGCTGGAGTTCCTCTGCACATCCTCTGTGTGTCAGTTTTCTGCTTTGGTTCCTGCTGTGGATGTCTGTTATTCAGGAGCCAGTGACTCCTGTCAAACAGTTCGTTGAGCCATGGAAATTGTGAATTTGCCCATCCAGAGTTTAACCTGTCTCCCACTGAGACATTTAATTTCTCCTTGCCAATCCATGCTCAGTTGTGTGTGCTGGCCTGGCTATTGGAACCAAGCAGTAAGCAGAGCACTGCATACGGAGAGTTATCCTAGGGATGGAGGGTGAACATTAATATTAATGAGCAGTTACTCATTTACACCATAAATGTTGAAACTTCTCTGTAACACAGTTCAATTTCACTCGAGAATAATTATCTTCTGACAGAATTACAAGCCCTCAGCAGCTGCAGTGTGCTTAGCAGAGGCTGTTTGTTCTGAGCGGCACTGACTTATGTGATGGAACAATCTATTTTATGGCTTTGGTTCTCAGCTTGTGAAGCATTTGCCAGGCTTAAATATAATTATTTTCTAATCTGATGCTGACAAGTAGATGTAGTTCGGCTTGAAAAATTTGGAGCACAGATCTGTGCTTTTGGTTCAGCAGCCGCTGGAATTTTTTCTTAGTAATTAACACAGTTCTTTCTGAAGCATCAGCATGTGGCTTTGGCAGCAGCACAAGGGACTCAGCCTGGTGGCTGTTCTGTTCTTGTCTTAGAGATTCGGTTATCTTTCTAAGAACTCAAAGCTTTCTAAATATGTCTAGACTTCAATAAATAAACCACAGAGCCTTTTCACTGGGATAATCTTTACAAATGTTTCATGATCTCTCATGATCCATAAACTTGCATACTGTATAAAATAATGCTTTCCTATGAATGATCTCAGCGCAGGTTTCCTGTTGTTACACTTTGAAAGTGAGTTTTCATTTCACATGCATGTGAATATCTACCTGCACAGATGAGTGTGTGAATAGCAAAGCCTTAGAAAGAATTAAAGAGTATTTATCACGCACTCTCAATTGATTTCCTTCCAACTGCCATTAATCTGTTTTAAGCAATACCACTGAGACTTTTAAAATTACATATTAATGTAAAGGTTTCTTAGGGATGTGAAGCACAGTATAATGTTTACATTCAAATGGATGGCTGAGGATCAGAGAAAAAGTATGGTGTCAAGAGGATACCCTGATTTTCCATAGAGGTATTTTCAGGCATTGAGAACGTGCCCGTGAGTTTGTGCAGTAAGAAAAGAAATAAGCAGTATGAACTTTTTGGGGATCAAAACAAGATTTAATTTGAAACATTTGGCATTAGAACACAAACTCGGAGCAACAACAAAACCTGAGGAGCTCGGTAGGAGCTGGCTGCGGCAATCGCCTTGGAGAGCCTTTAATAAATGGCTTAATCGTATCGCCCTCTGCCGGAGCGACGGGAGATTGCAGACTGATGCTGAACGTGCGGTGAAAAAGCTCTGCCGGGAGAACCGTGAGGTGGATGCAAATAAGTCGTTACACGCTGCTCAGCAGAATCCCAGAATCGAATGCTTCTGCATTTGGATTCCAAAGAGAGACTTAGGTTTTCTTCTGACTTGCTGAAGGGGTATTCATTTCCCTGGAGAAAAATCTGTGCACAGAGGAAAGAGATCCAAGGTTGAAAAATCCATTGAAAAGAAATACTGGTTAGAGCCTCTTCATCCACTCCACCCCAACAGGAAAATTTTTCCTGAAGGCCACAGAAGAAACTGCATGCAGTACCTTTTTTTTTTAATGTTTATGGACAGAGATGAGGATGCCAGTGACTTTTCTTTGAAAATGAGCTCATTACTGCTCATTTCCCTGTTTTTATCTGTTCAGGTGTGTTTCTTCTTTAGAAATTCCAGAAGGCGTTTCACAACTGTAACAAAAGCAAAGTTAAAACAGACTCCCCCTAATGAGAAACACAGTCCTGCTTTGCTCGTGAAGGTGGGGATTAAACTATTGAAGAGAGGAAAATATGGATGGGCCACAGAGAAGTGAATGAAGGGAGAAATATTTCATAAAGGCAGAAAAAGGAACAGCTGGGAAGCCCTAGGCTGAGAGTAAATTTGCCAAATGAGAAATGCACAACAATATAGTATCAATTTCAAATATGTATAGTGTCATGTATTCTGGTTGGGCTTTGATTATTTTTAATGTTGTAATTTATGGGCGAATAATTTAATTTGTACAGTGATAAACTGAAAGATAATTTCTGAATGGAACTGGATTTTAACTATTTCAGATTTTCCCGGCCTGAGCGGATCTCTGCTGGGCACCATTTTGTGTGTGAAAGAGAATCGTGTGCTTTGGAGTGCTGATGTACGTGCATGGCTTTAAGTCTGTTTATTTACTTGTGTTCACTTAGTGGATTTGACTGAACAGAAAAGTGGATAAAGCTGCTTGTCAGATAACATAAGAGATTCTTTGCAAAATCATGCAGAATTCTAAATGGTTCTGTGTGTAA